TATGGACATTACATTCAAAGACCAACCTTTCAATGCTCCAAGTCTTTCATATATTGAGAGGCTGTTTAAATATCTTCAAAAAGAAAATGTTTTCAAATAACTAATCAAATTAACTGCAGATTGCAGTAGTTAAACATTGCTTTAATTACTGAACTTGGATTGTTCTGAACTTGTTGTCAGAGTACTATTCATCGACTCTCAGTAAGCTAGTTGACACTATTTTGGAAGGATACACTGCACTGAACAGTATGAATTGACAATTTTCTCTGTAGTATTATCAGTGCAATGGCCTTTGAAAGTTGAAGTATTGCTTGTTTTAAGCTACATTTGTGTGATGTCGTACGTCAATCATGTTGGATCACGTGACTAGAGAGAGAGAGGATTATTAAAAAAAAGCAAGGTTTTTACTACAAGCAGGGCGTTGTGGTTCATTTTACTTTAGCTCTATTCGAGACTGATACTCTCGATACCACAATTTGTAGTCACTTGTAGTCATAATCCTGGTTTTAATGTTGGAAAACCACACACATGCAGATATCCTACAAACCTGTAGTTCAAGCCTGCCATGACTTCATAATTTTGACGTACTCCTCAAAAGGAGAACAAATAAAATTCAAGTTTCTCTTTATTCAGTTTATGTTATTGAGGTAAAATTGAGCCAAACATTCATATGACGACAGGTTCAAGAAATTTTCACAGCTAACCTATAAGGTTAGCCTACTTGGTGCAATAACCTTCGTGTACAAATTAGACCAGGTTTATACTGATAATGGGAAAAAACCAGTGTTTTACGAGAAAATAATGATCAAGAATTGGTTCATGTAGCAAATTACGGCCCAGTGGGTCTGCCTCTAATTTTAAACTTAAGAGAGTGCTTTAAGAATAAAAAATTTGCTCATGCACAAAAGAACTAGCAGTGTTAAGAAGGCATGCTTTCCTTTCTCATTTAAAAAAAATACTGAGGTAGTCATCTTTTCACAAGCTCAGTAGACAGTGACAGTGAGTGAGACTGACAGTGACTATGATATTTGAGTAAATATCCAGAGGAGCATAAAAAGTAAGATATGGTCTGCACAACTCTCCTATTTTAATTTTTTAACCTATAAAGCTAAGGAATTTATATTCTTTCTTTGTACATTACGTGGTCACATATCATGTGACCAATACCCTATATCAAATGTTTAGTTTGGGTATGAGCATTGGTAAGAAACACCATACACTATTGAAGGCTTGAGCAAGAGTATAAAATGCAATCTAAATAATATTGTTACATGTTACAATGTGGTAACTTACACAGCAAAATAATGTAATTACACAATTCCAAACCAAGGAAGTCAGGTTATAGACTCACCTGCTTTGACTTTTTAGGGCTTAAGGTACAGAGACACTGATGTGGTAAACATGCAGTTACAATTAATATAAAGTTGAAAGTTGGAAAGCTAAAAGATATACACTTTACAATCATCAAACCCTATGCTTCCTCGCAAAATTAGGGTTAATTACAACCATAACTTCTCCCAAACATTCATGCTCACAGGAAATCATTAGTTTTTGTCACTAGGTGTTACTGTATTTACAATAGTTTTACCAACACTAATGCTTTTTTTAAAAGTTATCACATAGAATATGACTATACAGGTCATGTGGAAGGTTCCTGCATGGGGACTGACATTTCAATTACCTCAGCAAACTGTAATCATGAGAATTACACACCAAGGTGTATTAACCAAGTGCTCATCTAATCAGTCACCTAATTGTTACAGTCAAGTTCACTCCCTTTTGAGGCTATCTTCAGCTTGATCATCTTGTTACATGGGAAAATATCAAATGTCATGCACATATTCAAATAATTACCTGAATCAAAAGTTATAATTTTTTAATAACCTCAGCCTCCTTTAATTGTGCTCCAGATGTAGTAAATGGTATTGAAGAGAAAGGAAGAAAGTTCTTGAAACAGACTATGTTAAATGAAGCTTCGTTATGAATGTAAATTGGGACAGCAATGAAAATATCTGTGAAGCTATGGCATGATATTAATAATAATATATAATATGGTATGAGGCATGATATTAATAAATTTAATCTCACCCAGTTTGAATGTGGAATTCAAAATGTAATTGACAGTAACTTGCTTGTGAATAGAAATAAAACTTAATGTGTTTTTCTTGCTTCTATCATTCTAAATGTTGTAAATCAATCACGCCACCACTTCAGTATGATTTGTTTGATGATGTGTACTTTTTCTTATTGTCATCTAGTTTTAGTATCTATCTTTTACTAGCTGACATCTGAGAAGAAACGAGTCCACACTAGTGATTTGACACATTGTAGGCAAACCCTACAACTAATTAAATTTTATTTGATCAAAAACATGAGAGCAATAGAAGAAATTAGCTAGCACAATTTATGTTTTCCTTCTTAAGTATTCTGCAATCTTTTTTCTATCAAATGGTAAAGTTTATAGTTAATCCCTCATTTCATTGTCTCCTGTTCATTTGTTTTTTTGCTTTCCTTAAATTCTTAACTATTGTTGCCAACAAATGCAGGGAACATATAAAATGTGTTTAGTTGTTAAAGACATCATGTAGAGTAGCCAGTTTCATATATGTAGAATATTTCTTGAATATGTGATTGCAGTAAGTGGAAGTGTCTGGTACACATCATTCTATGGTCTTCTACTCTTTTACCTTGGAGGGTGCCTTGTGTACAAGAATTGAAGTTCAGTGCCTTTAGTAGCTTTTTTTGCTACAAAGATCAACAAAGAAAAGCATTTTTTATAGACACCTCTACAATTGTAGGTAAACACAACTGGCATGTATGAGTGAAGCATGTCAAGCATTAAGGTATCATTGTCAATTTGCTTTTCATAACTTGCAAACAGCATATTTCTAGCAGCTTTGAAAACTTCTGTATCTCCGCTTTCAAAGAAAAGCATTTCCCATGAAAATTTAAACATGAAAGACATATGAAATCAAAAATATCTCTTTACAAGGATAAAAAGGGAATGCCATTTATGAATTTTAAAATAGTCCGAAATTTCCTAACGATTTGAGGTTTTTACGCTCAGTTAGATCGTCTTTTCAGTACATGCAGTAACAAAGCTTGCACACAGCGAACACTCGTATAGTATATGTGGTTTCGTGTCCATAAACAAAACAGAGCAAAACAGGAATGATGAAAAGAATAAACCAAACTGTCATAACTGTTAAGAATTTATACAAATTACGGTGTTGGAGAAATTGAAACTGTGTTTTCCAAGTTTTATGTTGAAAAACTAGCGTGTTGTCGCGAGCCGCAGCTTGGCCGGATTTACCGTAACATTTCACTTTCAGATTCTGTATTTAGACTTACAAACTACGAGCAAAAATGTTGAATTCGAGCTGCCGAGTCATTTGAAGTTGAACAACACTTTTGTTCGGTTTGAAAATTAAAATTTGTTTTGAAAGTAAAAAAACAAAAGCAAACAAAACAAATAAAGCTTGTAAATCTCGAATCGTTCAAGACAGGAGACTTACAAATTAGTCAAGTATTCTCCCATCAACCGCTCAAGAGGATTCCACAGGCAACTTAGCACTTGAAAATTTCCTTTCGTATAGGTAACAAAATGATATCGAATGCAGTTTGTTGTACGAGCACGTGTTAATTTTTCAAGCCCTTTCTTCTTTTAACGACCTCCGGCCAAAAGTAATTTCGTAAAAAGACGCTTAAAACGGCTCAAGAAGGAGAAAAAAAAACCACAAATGCATCGATTAACATTTCAATTAACTTCATTGAGATATTCAGACCGAGATGTAATTCACATATGCAATTTTCAGAGCTTCATTCATAACCCTCATAGATTTTGTTCGTCATGTCAACAATAATTTATCACGAACACATAGTGTGGTCTGCCTGTGGTGATACGACTTTGCACTCGTGTAACATGAAAAATGCACCCGTATTCAGCCAATCAGACGCACGTAATTTTTCAGGCATATCATTATTCCAGTAATAGTGTGGGTGGGTTACCAACTAGGAATTCCTTTGTCAATTGCTCGCTTCATCTGGCTTGATGAAAAATTCTTACCTTCCGCTGACCCAATATGGTCATGCTTGCCAGCGTTCACCCAAAAATACAAGAAAAAACCGGGAAGTTACAGAAGGGTGTCAGAGAAGTATGGCTTTATTTTATTTTATTTTATACAATTTCATCAGTAAGCTGTTGAAAGCATTGTTTCAAGTCGTTATCTGGTAGTAAATAGACATGGTAGTTAACTACGTGCATTTAAATCTAATGAAGCTCTCCAGTTCATAGTAAAACAAAATATTTGTTCAACTACATCTGGAATACGGTAAAACGGCGACGACCTAACTAATTGATTGGATGATTGATTGATTTGACAGAGGTAGTTTTGTCTGACAAACGCGTTGGAGAGGAAGAAATCGAAAAAGAAATAAAATAAGGCTCACAGAGAGAGTACAGATATAGAACTTGTTATGCGGAAAGGCGCAATTTAGTCGTTCAAAAACAAGGCCTTTTTTTTGTTTCATGTGCGTTCATAATCAGTCTCTTGTCAGCAAGCTAGCACATACATTACTAACACGCTTCCCTAGGGCAGTTAACCTCAGTGGCACATATATATATATATTTATACACACCCGTTTTCAAAAACGTTGCAATTCGAAAAAAAAAAGAAAAAAAAAAGGAATACATATACCTTTTGTCAAAAAGTGTCTATTTCTGATGAGAAAACCAAAGGTAAATATATTTCATGTCAGGAGCCCTGTTCCTGTATATTTCCGAATTGCGACGTTTTTGAAAACGGGTATATATATATATATATATATATATATATATATATATATATATATATACACACACACATATATATATATATATCTATTATAGCGCTATAAACTCTTGCAGCTGATTAGATGGTTATCAATTTCTTTAAGGTTTTCCCGCATTTGTCAACTAGCTTGTCACATTCATTTCCGATTTTAGGACCAGTTTTTATGACATGGCAGAAGAAGCCCTACAATCAACAAGTCTTAAAGCAAATTTTCATCGCTTGACACGATTACTGATGCGTGGAGGTGTGCAGCTTTTGCGGGAGACTTTAGACTCCATTCACTCACCTGCTGATCTTCCTTTGAGACTCGCTGATCCTGCCATACAGGCACAGCTGAAAGGAGCAGGACTTACCCGGCCAGAGAGGGCTTGTCTGTACCCATCCACTGGGGTGTATGGAAAGTCCAAGGATTTTGACATCACATTAATCTTCAAGTTATTCAGGACAATTTGCAGCCTGACCCCTCCCCCTGGACCGAGAGGATGGGATAATTTACCAAACCTCTCAGACCACACTCTGGTGGCAGATTTAGTTCGAATAAAATATTATCGAAATGAGATTTACGGTCACCGTCCCACTATGGAAATAGCTGACATCGATTTTACTCGTCTCTGGGAGGAAATTAGAGAGGCTCTGTTAAGAATTGCGACAAATATTAGTCCTTCAAAGAGAGATATGTGGAAGAAGTCCATTGATGATCTTCTTTGTTATCCTTTGACGCCAGATGATGAAAGATGCATCGAAGAGCTAGAGACTTGGTATAAGGGAGACGTTGACGATGAATTGGAAAAGCTTAGAGAGGAGCTTAGAGAGGAGCTGATAGAGGAAGTGAGGTCTGAACAACCCGTGGTCGTAGGTCAGTAAAAGAGTAAATTTAAGTCTCCATTAGACAAAAATAAGGAAACCATATTCTCAGTTCCCTTTGATGTTAATCCAATGTTGCCATTTTTCCCGAAAATCCTCATTTAATTGCTTTGACCTTGCACATTTGTTTAAAAAATAAATTAAAAAAAAACAGTAGTTCTCTTTTTTGAGTTAAAATGCAGGTTAATATTTGGTTGTTTTTCTATCAGCCACACATATGGACATAGATGGATCCGAACCGACGTTCCTTGATTATCGGAGTGGTCATCTTAATTCAGTTGCAAAATATTCATTAGTCTATAATTTGATTGTTTATTATCATTATAGCTCATTTAAGGAGATTTTCAATTCACATGCTGCGTGTTGGTTGACACACAAGCTCCCGTCGGGGACAACTTCGGCTTTAACAGACGAGAAATTCTGCCCTCTCGCTTAGGAGGAAATATCAATAGTTATATGAAATTCGAAAACTGTGCTACTATTCCGAAAATAAAACTGAAATAGTGTTGTCGTTGTCACTTACCGTAATCAAAAAATTCCGTGCAGAATTCCGCAAAACTGAATAAAATCTGTGGCGTGAACCGAAGACTTTTTGAAGGAAATATTCATGGGCGTTGTTCATGCTCTCTATTAGATAACAATTTAAGAATATTCCGCAGATCTCTATGTGTATTTGCTTTCTTCGATCGTCAAATATCTCAATTTTTTCAAACATTTTACAACTATATGTAAATATACATCTCTCTCGATCGAGATTGACTTCAAGTGTCACCCTCTATTTAGCACACACAGAAAACACACATGTCAAGCAAGATTGGCTATTCGGCACGCACAGAATCGCATATGTCAAGTAAGATTGTGTGCAAGTCTCGCACTCTATTCGGCACGCACAGAAACGCATGTGCAACCAAGATTGCCTCAAGTCTCGCACTCTATTCGGCACGAAAACGCACATGTCGAGTGAGATTGACTACAAAACTCGTACCATATTCGGCACGTACAAAACGCGTATGTCAAGTGAGATTGACTACAAGTCTCGTGCTCCATTCGGCAAGCGCACAAACGCACATGTTAGGTAAGGTTGACTAGAAGTCTCGTAATCTATCCGGCACGCACAGAAACCCACGTGCCGATCGAGTGAGTTTGACTACAGCACTCGTACTCTATTCGGCACACACAAAATGCACATTTCGAGTGAGATTGACTACAACACTCGTACTTTATGGGGCATGCACAAAAACGTACATGTCAAGGAGGATTGCCTCCAGTCTTGCACTCTATTCTACGCGAATAGAGACGCATATGTCAAGTAAGATTGCTTGAGTCAACACTCTATTTAGCACGCTCAGAAAACGCACATGTTAAGATGTTAAGGGGGACTGACTTTAAGTCTCGTACTCTATTCGGCACTCACAGAAATCTTACATGTCAGGTGAGAATGACATGTCGTACCTTATTCGGCGTGCTCACAAAACGCACATGTCAATTAAGTCTCACTCTCGATTCGGCACGCACGGAAAACGCACTTATCAATAAAGATTACCTCAAGTCTCGTACTCTATTCGGCACACACAAAAAGTGTACATGTTAAGTAAGATTGACCTCATGTCTCGCGCTCTATTTAGACTCGGTACAGACAGAAGATTTGCGGATTTTCTTTCCTATTTTAAAACTTTCTCTCTGGGAAGAATGGATTCGATACAGGGATATAACTCTTTTCTAAAACAATCTACCACTGTTGTGATACTGTTATTGTTATTCGTCGGCCTACCCGACAGCTGCGAATAATGAAGCTTGCTTTGCTTGACATGAAGTTGCACATTTTGAGGTTTAAGTTCAAATAGTTGAGCTCATATGATCGTCTCTTATTTTGTTTAAGAGGGATGAAGCGAAGGATTTTAAGTAACAAGATGCGAATGGTTCTGTGTCGTAGTTAAAAAAAATGTATGTATTTATTTTTGTAAGCGCTTTTGATTATAAGCAATCGCAGATCGTTTTTATCCAAACCGAGGTTTCGTAATTTTTATTTGTAATCACACATTACTACTGCTGTGTGATTACGGTTTTAGTGAAAACGAAGACCCCCGAAAACAAAGACCTGAGACCCGAAAACAAAGACCCGCAAACGAAGACCCTTTGATGATCTTGATACAGGAACTGCGTGTCATGCTCTATAGCTTCACCGATGAAAAACAGTTTAAAGCTTGGCAACTTCTCTGCTCGCAACGTGATCATTTATCAGTTAAAAAAAGCGAAATCGCCGACGATTACATTAAACGCTAAACCGGAGATCGCTTTATGTCCTATAATTTTCTTATTTGATGCTTTCTTAATTTATTTCTGAAAACACTACTGCCATTCAAAATTTCTGACCGCCGCCTCAAGAGCTTGCAGATGTGAACTTTCGACCCGGCTGACGCCATTAGGTGTTACGGCATTGCTCTTCTTTCATACAAGCCGGTCCAGCTGCTCTTGATACAAGCTGGTTTAGCGGGACAAATGCCGTAATTGAGTATTTTCAGTGTTGCGTGTAGGCAGGTTTCCTTCCTTCTTCTTCTTCACAGAGAAGATAATTTAACGGCTGTGGCATTATTTACGAAACTTTTAAAACTTGATTTAGAGGCGTGTTTGAGACTAATTGGGGCGCGCTTTGACGTCAGTGAATCGACTGAAAGGCCGTCAACGTAGCATTTTAAACTAACTTGTGGTGATCAGAAAGGTGTAGTAAGCATTGGAAAGAATCCAATAAATGAACACGGTTCCTATAGATACACGACATACCTAGGGAAATTTGCAGGAAGCCTTCTGGTCAAAATAGTCACACAATTCAACGCCGGCAACACTCGATCGAGAGAGATGTAATTTACGTGTAGTTCTAGAATGCCTGAAAAACTGCAGATATTTTAAGATCGAAAAAAGAAAATACACATAGAGATCTGCAGAATATTCTGAAATTGTCATCTAGTAGACAGCATGAACAACGCGCTTGAATAATTCTTACGAAAAGTCTTCGGGTCACGCCACAGGTTTTAGTTTGGTGGAGTTCAGCATGGAAATATTCGATGGCGGTAAGTGCCAACGCCAACACTATTTTAGTTTTATTTTTGGAATGGTAGCACAGTTTTTGAATCTGATATAACTATTGATATTTCCTCCTAAGCGAGAGGGCAAAATCCGATGTTGTCGCACACGGGAGCTTGTATGTCAACCAACACGCAGCATGTGATTAATCTCCTAAAATGAGCGATAATAATAATAACCAATCAAATCATGGAATAATCAGTGTTTTGTGCCGCACAAAAGCCATATTTGCAGATTTTAACAAATCTCCCAAGTACCAAGCGACAGAAGAAAGAAACGCTACGATTTTCCCATCAACATTTCGCCTACATGCATCTCTCGGAACGTGAAATTTTCCATTCCGACAAAAACTCTCGAAAGTTGTTCACTTTTATTTTAGCTTTCTTGATCGATCATCTTGTATAACGAGCGATAAAATGTAGGTTTATTTGCTCAAGTGACCGCTTAGAGCCAGAATTGCGTGACAGGTGTAGCTGAGAGAAGCCTGTCGCAGATTTTAAAAGGCATCCAAGACAAAAATATGGTGGTTCCCAAAGATTTTGTTTTTCAGAGATGAGATGATGGATTATAAAGTAGAATTAAAATTAGTGTTGTAGCTTTCTGGCAAGGGGAGATATTTGACCTCAAAGTTATCAAATATTTGGATGGATCGAAAAGTCTAAAACACAGTAATTTATTTGCCTTTGATGATTGACAAGCCATCAATCAAGTTGACTGATACTTGTCCGAAAATAACCAAAACAGAAACCAGTTTGTTTGTTTGAGTTTTGGGGGTAGACCCCTTTAAACTGGCAAAGTTTCATTGAAATTGGTGAGATGGCATGTAGCACGACTGCCTTGTGCTCAGGTGGACACACTCTTAAAGCCATCATCTTCAGGTGATATTCACCACTGTTAAACCACCCATGATGGAAAGGGATCGTAGAGGATTAATTCCTTTTCAGAGACCTAGGCCCAGTTGTTCATTCAATGGAAGTTTTCAAACACACTGCGCTATCCACCTGATAGAACTTTATCCAGAGGGTAGCGTTATCCACGTTTGAACAACCGGGGCCTAGTGTTAGGAGGGCACGATCGATCCTTTTTCATAATTTTTTTATTCATCTCTTCGTCTGAGAAGCGATAGCTAACCGAATTTGTTATTCAGCTATTCGGATTATGATTCAAGACTACTTAAGTGGTATTAAATCATAAGTTAGCGTGGTTATTTTTGTATGTGCGTTGGACTTTCTTGAGGCAGAATGCACTGCATTTTATTTTGTTTTTTAGCTGAAGACTGCAAAGGTGCCGCAGCTTCCAAAATCGTAACCAGTAATGGAACATCACTGAGTGTAAAAGGCGTTACCTTGATATTTCCTCCTGGAGCTGTGAAAGATCCTGTCACCATCCAACTTACTTTGGATGAACCTTACAAATACTGCTACCGTTTAATAGCTCGTTGTGGTCTCCAGAACGATGTGATATTTGTTGCTCCCATTGTCAACTGTCAACCTAATGGCCAGAAATTCGAAAACTATATCACTGTGAAGGTCACATTGAACGGTAAAAGAGTGAAGTCACACGGTGATCTCCTCGTCTTACATGGAACTCGGAACAGTCAAAGCCAAAAGCCAAATTGGGAGGATATCACTGATGAGACCAAATTTGATTTTGAAACGAAGGAACTAAAAGTTAAGATCAATCATTTTTCATTGATTGCTGTTCTGGCGAGGTTATATACGCATTCTTGGGTATGCACCAAAGAATTTGTGACCCGGCTGACCTCCATGTCCTTCAACTACGAGTTGTCTGTCCTCCTCAAAAGTAATCAGCAACAATGCCCCTCTGACGAGCTTGCCCTCGTGTTCATGAGCCAAGACACGTACCAGGAGCAGTATTACAGAGATCATGATGATTGTGCCCTGATGCGGCTTAAAAAAGATGGATTTGAAGAACTTCCTATTGACTGTAGAAATTTACAGGAAAATAACTGCATTTGCAACAAGGAAACGTTAAAGATCTCAATTCAACTCGGGGAGGATTACGAACTGGCAAATAACCAGCAAAAATGCTTTGAAGTTGTGGTGGACTCTGCTGCCTGGTGGAAAGCTGGACATGTGATCAAATTACCTTTACAAGCTTCTGACGCGAATTCCAAAATTTTTTGTGGAAAGATCCGTGTGGAAGGCAAGTGTGGGCACGACCGCGAAAGCAAGTTTTGCCAGCAAGGTGAGCTTCTGCAGTAATTCGAGTGAATTTTTAAATTTTATCATCCTCCTTGCTAATATGTGGCCTCTTACAATCTTATTAAGTTTAATTGTAAGTCATAATACAGAAAAGCTTTCGATAAAAAAAGAATTTGTCTATGATCTCATACGAAAAACTGTAGATTAAATGGGCATGCTTATTTCATGATGAAAAAAAAATTTAATTGCAGATCTGTGTGGCTATGTGAGACGCGTTCTTGCTGTGAAGAGGGCAATTTTCGACGTGAAATCCGTAGCTCAAAAGCTCGAATTACCCGTTGAAACTCAGCACCAAGTTGTTGCTTGTTGGCAAGGAGAGAAAGAACAACTGGAACTTGCAATACAACACTGGAGGGAAAAGCATGGGTATGCAGCAAATCCGAACAATCTAAAAAAGCCCTTGAGGAGCTAGAACCTGATGGTAAGTCTCTTCTCTCCGACTGCGTGTATAGAAGATCATGACCATAAACTTCTAAGCATGGTCTGAGAGCGACTAAGAGGTCGCTTACCATGATAAACAAGGAAGTTTCTATCTTTCCATGGTACAGATACATTTGCTACCTCCCGAGGAAAATTCACATTCTGTTTGAATTTTTGGCGAAAAGCCAGTATTGGCATTTGAAAAAAGAAAGAAGAAGGTTTTTTTTGCATATGCCCCAATTTCGGAAACACAAAAAGACCAGAACACTGGGCACTTCACAGACCATTACGGCAAATATGAAGGAGTCAAAGCACATGGTTTATTTTACCTTATTATACGGTCTAACCATTTCAGATGTCATTGCAAACTTGTGGGGCATATTCTCCTCGCTCGTTTTATTGTTGGTCCGTTCCAAGACTTGAGCTACGTGGTCAGGTGTCCTACTCATTGAGTCAAATGTTGGGGGACAGAGGATTTCGGATAAGAACCATGATCACTATTTTGTTCTATTCAAGTAACAGTCACTTAATTTCTCTATATTTCTTTAGAATTTAAGGTGAAAGAGAGGGGGCAAATGCACATTGAACACTTGAGAGACCTGGCATTTAAAATCGCAGGTTTAAGACATCAGGATTCTGACCTTATGAAATATTTTGGTCGCGAAGTAAAGATGCTTTGTAGCGCAGTTTTGAGAGACTGCTGTATTGAGAACGCAACCTCCAAAGGAGAGGTGGAATCAGCAACTCAAACGGAGAATTTTGCCTCTGTTCTTGTGATGAAAAGGCGACTACCCGAGAGCGTTGGAAAGATGTGCACGCATATGTTCTCATCTCAAGAGGATGAATTCATTACATGCAGTTTCCTATGCATTGTTTCTGAGTTCATCCAAGCCATTAAAGAAATCTTCCGAGAGGAAAAAATTCAACGAACACCGAGTGGATTAAGAGGAGTAACAGAGGAAGCAACTCTCCAAAACGTTACTTCAGTCATTCAAGGTGCTGCTCATGATAAGAATATTTTCAAACTTCTGAATGAGGTGTGCTACATTCTGGAGATTCTGTGTCGAAACAACAACAACGATGACCGACAAGAAGAATCGCGGATACAAAGATGGGGTAGTGGTGTTATGATGGGTGACATGTTGGAATTTCTGGAAAGGTTCTTTCAAAGCACTGAAGCACGTAGATTATACAAAAGATTGGATTTGTTTTCCGTCTCTTTGAGAGACATCATAAAAAACCCTACAGATTTTGAGGGAAGCTTCTTACGTGATTTCCATAATGTTGCAGTAAGTTTGCTGAAGTTCGCCAAGTTTGATCCATCACACCTTGTGCAATTTGAACTAAAGGACCCAGCTAACTCGATCAACAACCAGACAAGAGATGACATAAAGTACGATATGTCGAAAGAAATATATTCTCAGTTCTTTTGGATGATCAAAGAAAGCGAGGAAATATTGCAACTTGAGGCCACTGCGCATGTTCACATTGGAGGACATCTTCTTACAATTGGAGCATTTGAAGCAGTGATCGTCCTTCCTGAGTCAAGAAGTGAGGTTGTTGAAAATGCTCCCATTACTTCTTTTCCAGTCTCATTCAAAAGTGAAACTGACGGAGACTCAGGCAACCTTCAAGTTACTCTATATTCTACGCAGAAAGACGACATCAGCAAGGCTCTGGAATATTTGCAGATCTTCTCAGAACAAACAGAAATTAAGGAAACCAGCCTCAAACTTGTGAACGTCGCCAGAGCAGGGACAGACGTCAGACTACGTTTGATTCACAGATGGGGATCAGGGACCATAGAAGTTGAAAGCAATAGTTTTGAGCCTCAGCCGCTTGGATATTCATCTCCTGAATCTCAACAAAATTTGGAAATAACAGGTTGAGAAAAAAATATTTTGTAAAAATAACTGGTCTTCAAGTCTATACTGTTAACCTATTATTGTGACATAAAATGGCTGATATGATGAACGCATACTAAGAAATCAGAGACATAAAACTACCTAATTTCCTTCGTGAGAAATCTCCAATCTAGAAATCTTTGCACTCTATCCTCTTCTTGTAAGCTAAATAATGCTATATAAAATGAGATTAATCATTTTTCAACCCATTTCAAATATACTGTTTTAATTACTTGAACATTTGTTAGATTCAATGAATAACCAAAAATACCAAACTGCACTGTATATCGCTTTAGATGAGTCTGATCAAACAGCGGTGAGGGAATCGTCACTTTTATCAGGAACAAGCGAGCGCTTTGCGGATAACCACAGCAGTGGCAGCAACTTCATGACTGGCTCATCAAGTGCTGAACTGATTCCTTTCCCGCCGTCGACAACAATGCCAACGGGTATGTTTTTAGAGATTTTAAATTAATCTTAGGGTGCGTTCCTTTGGTTCAATTTCTGATCAGTGGCGTTCCTTTGGAGCAAATCCATTGTCAGATTAGTGATTTATCAAATCCACTCTGCACAAGGATTTTATCGTATCACTGATCTGCGCGATTTGAATACCCAAGATTATTGAATCACAGACCCGACGCGTTCCTCTGGGCGAAGGATCCGAAATTAATCATTTTGCCCGGCGGTACTCAATTCAAACAAGTAGGTACTTCATATATTGACCGGAAAGATTGTTGGCAATCACTCCACAAATTCTGCTATAAACAAGAAATATACTTTAGTATGTAATGTTGAATCGATCGGCCACTGATCGCAGGCACTCAGGGTTCCCAAGTATCCATATCGTAATCAATACTTGCTTCTATAAGTCAATGGTAGGTCTTCCCCTATTCCTTTGTCCATGAGGCAGACCAAGGGAAGTAGCTAACTGGCATTTCAAACAGGTGACATTCGAAAATGACATCGAAAGTCTAAAACAATGTAAAGTTGTATGATACGTTTCAAATAATTCTCAATGGGGCCATGGCTCTGCATCTCCCTACTAGTTATCAAAAGAAACGATAGAAATTCTTCATCTTCACAACTTCTTGCTTCTTGTGGTATTGAATCATCGGCAAGTTCCTCTATGAACGAAACAACAGCTGCTCTACAGAGGAAGGCCATTGTTTTTGTTTTTAAATTTAGCTTGCGATTCCGCTGACGCGCTCTACGATTTCGCGCCTGCTGTCATGGTAACTGTTTATCAGATCAGCTACGTTCCTTTCATGTACCGTGATCTGTGTGATCTTGGATCACAAAATCCTAATCCGTAACCTCCCAAAGGAACGCATCCTTGGGATACGTTCTTTTGGAAGGATTAAGATTAGTGATTTTGATCCGAGATCACCCAATGATCCGTTTTCAGATCCCTCAAGATCAGTAATCTGATATATCCCTGTCCAGAGTGGAATCAATGTAGCAATGATCTGACAATGGATTTGCTGCTAAGGGGAACGCACCCTTAATCAGAATGTTTCAACTGATCAGCGAACTATTTGCAGTGTGGTGTTGAATAGTGTACAACGATTTCAATGCGTATACGGACTAACAATTTCGTGTCATTGATACTTTATTTCAGTAATAAACGTTAATAACTATTTTAATCACACTGTCAACATGGAGGGTCACGTTTGTGTGGCTGGAGAGAACCCAAGTCTAAACGTTCAAGCACCTTCATCTGCAGTACAGCGGTATGTACACTTGCACAGTGGTGCAATATTCAATAACTGTGCTGAGTGTAGTGGATCAGAAATTTACTGCTAATAAGGGAAGGAATAATAATAAGAAGGAAGTTACCAGTTATTAGTTCATTATCCTTATGTTTTAATTTGTAGCAGTAAGTACTCTGTCTTCTATTTTTCCTCTCAACTTCATTCACCCAATTTTATTGAGTGTACTGAGATACTCACATTTAAGCTCTTTGATTCAACCACCGACCATAAACGGTAAAATTATATGATTAACCGGCGACCTGGCATTTTTAACTAATTAAGGTTTATCGGGGCTGTTAGTTACTCTTCACCTTCATTATTTTATAGAACTGAGACAAAAGTAACTGCAGTCTAGGTAACGGGAGAAATTGCATTGTTTTTGTTGCTTTTAGAAGAGAAATATCTGAAACCATCCTTTGTATTGTTCCTCTTGGTGGTCTGATAATGGTTATGTTCCTCACAGGCGGCCCAAGCTCCAACTATGCGATGATCATCTTGCGAAATAAGAGTCATGATGTAATTTTAAAAGTTTGTATGGGAGTATAAACGACCTCTCATAGGAATAAAAAAAAGGTCATCCATTTCTAGGTTTAGTACTCATGAGAGAAGCTCAAGGCTGCACACTCCATTTCCGAAAGCGATAAATCTAAGCTCAAAATGACCGGGCGGCCACAAATCCAACGCAGAACCCAAGCACATAAACTGCAGTTTCATTTAGATTTACTACAAACTCAATCTTCCCGGTGAAACCGACGCTAAGCCGCAGTTTGCTTCAAAAATTTCCAGTTTACGTTTCTAAAGGCCCGCGTACATATTCACCACGACACACGACCGTTATAAACCAGCTTGGTAACCCTGCCTCCTTTGCTAACTAAGCCGTGAGCCCTTCTGGTCGATGTCACTTTGACGCAAGCAACTGTGCCTCGCCGGGGACCACACAGTCACTTGGCATCAATAAATTTTAAAACCAAGGGTGCTAAGTGCGGCTTAGCGTCGGTTTCACGGGGAGGATTGAGTTGGTAGCGAATTGAAATGAAACTACAATATGTGTGCTTGGGTTGTGCGTTGGATTTTATGGCAGCCCGGTCATTCTGAGCTTGGATTTTTCGCTTCTCGGGTCGGGTGTTGTGCAGCCTTGGGCTTCTTTTATGTAATAAACCTAGAAATGGACAACTCGCTTAAATGGGTTCTTTTCAACAAAGTAAGTGGTCAGATAACAAGCAATGCATTGTGGAAGTAAGGTGAGGTATTTTTATTTAGAATTTGACTGTATTTTTTTATTCCTAAGAGCGGTCGTAAATATTCCCGCACAAACTGTTGTGATTTCGCCATGACTCTTATTTCGCAAGATGATCATCGCTCAGCTGAAGCTTGGGCCGCCTGTGTGTTCCTGTAAAAAAAAGACTTATTTATTATCCTTACTTCCCATTCTTCTGCTTCCTCAATAATCGCAGAAAGTAAAGCTTGTTCGCTAGTTGACCTTTCTCGCATCAAGCAAAAATGTTTTTTAAAAAGTAGTAATTAACTAAACGTTTCAAATGATTCAGTTTTCTAGAGGCTGGACCGGGTGCTGCCACAAACAGAAGTATAACTGAAGGAGCTAATGAAGACTCATGAAGTGAATCGATAGCCTTGGAAAGAAATATCTATTGCTGAGTTCTGATAGGGAGTTCTCTTTATCTAGAAATATATATTAAACCCTTTGTTACGGTCGAGAAAATAGCGACCAATTCAATTTTCTCGTCTTAGAAAAGTAGATGAAATATTGAAGGTGATTTTATAGACATGGCTAGTATATACATCCGTTTTCAATTTGAAAATATAAGTTTATATATAGACCTTTTCTTTTCTCGCTAAAAAGGTGATGGACGATGCACCTAAATTTCACATCGAAGGAGCAATACCTTTTTTGTTATTGCTCGATGGTGAAACAAAGACTTTGGAAATTTTGGCCGCAGCTATGGCACTTTCCTTTTGAAATAATGTCCCCAAAATCACTATTTATTCTGTCGACAACTTTTTTAATGGAAAAAGAAAAGGTGTATATATTTCATATATATTTTCAAATCGCAATGTTTTTGAAAACAGGTGTATACAACATATATGCATATATAAAATTGATTAGCCGAGAGTCTTGCACCGAGAGACAAGCGATTTATTAATCTATAACACCTCGATGAACAACAATATTTTTTACAACAGCTAGTACATGTAAACAGTTTTAAGCTTTAGAGATCTTGTGAGTACTGAATTTCATTTTAGCACCAAATCGAATTAAGCAACAGATTATCTACGATTATCCTTTGAGGCGAGTGCTATTTTAATTTAAGAATAATTTGATTTTCGACTCTGAAGTTTTGGTAAGATTATTATGGCCAGAATCCTTTACCCTGAGCAGGCACGGTTGTTGATGCCTCATCTGCTGAGCGATGAAGTAGACCACCTGACACTACGCTTGACTGTAGAATATTTGGTTTTGATTACTGAGATATTATAATGGTTTTCGTCTCTCGGGATTTGATTTGAGACTTCTGAGTGCCGAGTACATGGTTGATCAATATCAGAGAGACTTTTGATTCAAAAGAAACCATTCATAACACGTTGCTATTACCCGCCTCATTAACAATTTGTAGCAGTAGCTTTAACAGTTAATTATTGTCGCATAAAGTATCCCATCTAAGCTGGGTTTAGAAAACTGACATACACGTTTAAGGAACCTGAAACTGGCCAACTATTTTTAGCCGTGTGGTTCTTTAAAAGCCCGTTAGAGCTGATTTTGAGCCCCGTTAGCTTGAAGAAAGATTTCGAAGCAATTACAGTATTATGACTGTATATTGTGCATATTTTGTTATGTATCAAGGACTATGTTCTGGCAAAGATTAGGCACCTTACTTGTCTTAATTCTATCCAACTACAAGCGACTATAGGGCTTTAAGTGTCACGCAAAAGAGATTCTGTCACGATAAGCATTGCAGAAATTAACTTTTCGGGGGGGGAGGGGGGTAGTGTTACAGGAGACCGTAGGTTCAAGGCAAAACTGAAATGGTAAACTGAAATAAACAACAAAAAACACTGAAGCTCTTTGGCCTGCTTTTTCAATTCAAGAGTCCATCGCTAAAAGCAAAAAAAAAAACAAAAAAGAAACGAAGAATTCATCTTGCTGCGAGCTCAATCTTACCACTATTTTAAACACTAGATTAATTGACTACAGCTTGTATCCACAAAGTTCATTAAACTTCAGTAAACTCAAAGTCATGTTTGCTTACACCTTACTTTATTTATCGGTGTCGGGAGTCGGGATTGGCCAAATATCCTCCCCCCCCCACCCCTCCCTACATCTTAAACGCTTCACTGAAACGAACGAAGCCGTCATTCGTCGTGGATACTTTAGTCAGTTTCCGCTTCCTTTAAAAGCCGCCGGATTTGTCGAAATTGTTTTCCCAGTAGACTCGAAAGCACCGGCGGCCGATTCAATATCGTATAATGCAAATTTCTAGTTAGAAATTTCTAGTTGCAGTTCCGTCTGAATCCTCTGTGAGTAAATTCTACTTGTAGTTTTCGATTTCCATTTGGCGCTCGACCTGAAAAGTTAAGGATTACAGAGATCGACTGGTTGTTGCAAGGGATTTGCCGACATTTGCAACAAAGTAAGTACGCCTAAGAACATTATTTCAATTGTTGATCTGTAAAGTAAGATTTGGTGAATAAGTGATACAGGAGAGTCACAAAAATGTTCTTCTCAGGACTGTAAATACATCGGAGTTGTGGACCTTAAGTTTTATAAATACACGTACTTTACCCGACTTTAATCGACTTGGGAAGTCATGATTGAAGCACGAGGTTGAAAGTTGTTAATTTTCAACAGGTACGAGAATTTACTCTTAACACTGGTCGATTGATTTCGACAAAAGTTTGATATCACTATTATATGTGATCAACATTATTATTCACGGGCATTATGTTCTGCCGATGAGCTTCAGTGAGTCCGGAATGCAAATTTGTCATGAATCATTGAGAGCCAGTATTCTGACGAGTACAAAAATAGAACTCTGATCTCAACAACAATCTCGGACGGAAGCAAACCACTGTCGCTAACTGCGGGAAAATTTAGTTCAGTGATTCGCCGTCGTAGCTCTGAAACGGGAAATCCCTTTTGGAATGAAGTCTGTCGAAAGTAAGCTTCGAATCAACACTCGTGCGGAAACAAAAGAATATTCACTTAGCAAAACAAAATATTTTTTTTAATTTGATAAAGAAACAGCTGTCAACTTCTTACAGCGAGCGAACCATAAATAAACCTACCTTTTAAAAGACAAAGGCCCATCCCTCCTCAAGTTCCTTTAAGATCTCGAAAATTCTGACCCACTTACCTTTTGTTAATGTAGATGTATGTTAAAATTAGCCGTGTTGAAATCAAGAAAACGCTGAAAAATGGAAAATAAAGTTTTGCTCTTTAGGTAACCAATTTAGAACATGGACAGCCCCCCCGAAAAGTGTTTCAACATCAAAGAAAGACGTGGGCAAAGTCACGCGCAAGCAAGGCTACTCGCGTGGAGTAACTCAGACCTTCAGTCAAGCAACATATTCTTTTAGTTTCCTCAGAGAGAAATTAGATGTGGCCTTTCGTGCTTAAGCATCAGATTTTAAAATTTAATTACCTTCGCCGGTGTAGGATTTGTGTTTCTAGTTGAAAAACCCTGATGGTCATTACCTCAAGTAAGCCTCCCATATCTGCAAAAGCGATGCGATGTCAGTATTTTCGATTAATTTCTCAAATATGGAAGACTTAGGGTTGTCCATTTACTTTGAAAGACATCAATAATTTCATTCGTAACATGTTGTAGCCACTTGATTGCGCTCTTTCATTTTAACCACTTCTGGTGCTGTAGTAGCCAAGAAGCATATTGTTCCTCCAAAGAAAGGCTTCTCAGTCAAGGGAAGTAGTGTCTCCAAATATTTTGGGCGCTCCTCCATACCTAAAATCTTGCTTGCCTTGAGTTCAGCTCACTGGATACATTCTGTGAACTACCATGAAAATATTATTCCACCAGTGATGTTCTTCATCTAAAGGTTTTTCTTTTTGCTCTACAAAGGGTACACAGAAGGCATGAACTTGTCTCTGAGTGACATTAAACAGGTCAGGAATACATTAAAAAGAGCACCGCCACCAAGGGCTCCAGTGGGCCCTTCCACGGATCAAAATGGAGGTAACAATGGTGCTGTATCGGTGGAATCTGTCAGACAAAGATTTGAACAAAAACGAGTACCACCGCAGAAGCTAAATTCAACCCCATCACCAAGTCAAGATCATGGCAAACCCACAGAGGAAAAGGTTTTATCTGTAGCATCGGCAAGAGCAAAGTTTGAACAAAAGCAGAAACCTGTTAATAGGGTTCCTCCTCACTGGAAGCAAAGTGATGGGAACCAGTCTAAAACAGGCTTACCTATATTGGATAAGAACAGTAATGCCAGTGGGCACAAGAACATGGAACCACCACGCAAGGAGCTACCTAACGTTTATAGAATTGGTGCAGCTCCACCCAAACCTGCCAAACCGAAAAACCTAAGATTCATGCTGAGAAAATACAAGGACAAGATCGTTTTATCAAAATGCCTGACCACTTCGATTCAGGCATCCACTAAAGGTAGGCTGAAAATGTAAATATTGTCTAACTATCGGATGTGTAGATGCATTTTCAGCCCTTTTCGAAGAAGACGTACGCTCTAGAAATCCAATGAAAAAGCATACGACTTCAATTTCTTACCCTCGTGGTTCGAGTTTACTAACGGCTACCTGAGCTCTGCCGAGAATTATGTTTAAACCGGCTACAGACGCCGCCATTTTGAAAGCAACTCAGTAGCCTAACCGCACGCGGATGACGTCATCGAGTGCAAGCCAAATGTTGGGAATCACAACAGGCGGGTTATAAATCAGTTTTGTTTCGGATATCACAAAATCTCATTATTATAGGCGATAATACTTCTGTTGTGACGCAAATTCAAACTTAGTTCATGGCCGTGTTAATATTCTAATGAAGGTGGGCATGGCGAATTTCTGGTAGCTTTAATGTTTATCTCAGGCTTTCATCTTATTATGATCTGTCCCCATGCCAAACAGGATGACTAGTCCCGAAAGAAGATGGAGATCCTAATCATTTTCATACCTGAGGGCCCTCCCAGTTAAAAGAAAAAAAAATAGAAAAAATAATTACCTGATTGAACTACTCATTCGTCGTGAATTTGATCATCTAACTCTGAATTTTAGATGACAAATATGAGGACACTGAGGAAGTATATGACGACACTGAAGAATTATATGATGACGTGGAATCTGTGCAACCAAGGAACGGAGGTAACCTTTGCAATTTTCTCCCGTCTTTGACGTAGACGTGTAATTTTATCCTGTAAGAATTTAATGTAGGTTCGAACCCCTAGCTCTAGTAAATTTTCTGAGCTAAGATTTGTTTTTCTTTGGGCCAGCGTTGTACGGGGGTCTTACGAGGGGCAACTTGAATGAGTTAACCCTTCGCTCCCTAACACCAGTATGTATATTCTCCATACTGGTCTCCATACATTTCCTAGGGTGACGACAAAGAGAATTTGTTTAACAATCAAGAGCTTCTTTAGTTGATGATCAGTTCCTTTATTCTCATGACCTTAATGTGTGATTCAGGGGGGGAGGGGTATTGTAAGGAGAAATTAGATTAGATATTCGGGTTGAGGGAACAAACCTCGCTCATGGTGGCAGGATTTCGGGGAGGTAAATAACCTCCCTTACAAAATTATAACCTTTGTAGATATGGGCCGTCCAAAAAGGCATGTGCCTTCTAAGGGGGTATGAACTGGAGCCCTTTTGGTCTGAGAAAGGATTTCAGTAGAGTTTGCTATTAGGGTTTTTAAGATTTAAAAATCGGGTAAGACTTTCAAGAAGAAAACGAGAGCAAATGAACGTTTGGTTTTTTTTTATCTCCAAAAGAAAAAGTACATAAAGTGAAGTGACAAAAAGTAGGCCAAAACATCGAGGGAGGTGACGCCCATTTCACATGCTGTTATCGCCAAACTTATTGTCATTTCGTTTCCTGTGTGTGTTGCGTTTTCGTGTCAATTACATGTCAGGTTTTGTACATTTCATTAGTTGTATTGTGTACTTATGGTTGAAGTTTGCACCGTTGCGTAATGTTACGTAATCACGGGGAGTGATTTGTCAGGTTTTGCGTATGAATTTAGTCCTGTGTAAGAAGCAGCGTCGTCGTTTACAGAGCCTTATGGGGATCAGGTCAATTTCGTAGTGACATAAGCGTCATTCTCCCCCCCCCCCCCCTTGACAATGAATAATGACCGGCCCTGGATTATGCATGCATTTTGTCATTCTTATTAGGTATGTTATTTCTTTTCCGACAGATGACCAATCAGATGACATTTATGAAGCTGTTTAGCTTGGGACTTGAATTGTTTTTACCGTCTTCTGTATGGCCAGTTGTGGTGGATGAGGTCATAGTCACACTAAAGGAAAACTATCAATCTTGATGAAAATTTTATTAGAATTTATGCGCTATTTCGAGAGAATACTGAAATGAACTTCAAATTAATAGGCTTTGGTTCATCTCCACCTCAAATTGTGGGTGAACATACTGGAGTAAACAAGTATAAAGACAAAATGTGTTATAGTAATACTGACTGAATGTGCACGAGTTATTTACCTTAAAACTATTTTGCTGTTTAATTTCATTTTCGATGTAAAGCTTTCAAACTGGCTATTAACTAGACTATAGACAGCTGCCTAACTATACATCGTGGTAATATCAAAAGATGTAGAAAAAAGATAATTTAACAGTCATAGTTTTGGCGAAAACGAACTAAAATGTATTTGTATTAAGAGCATAGGTTTATAACGAAAATGTGGTGCTGTGTCGGTGGGGGGAATAATACACCATTTAGTTTTATCGACAGAGTACATAAGTAGTTTTTAAAGTTCTACAGTGGCCAATGTACATCATCATTATTATTATCAAGTTGGTAAATAATGGTAATTGAACTGAGTGGAATGCAATTTGGTCTGGGATCAGACGTGTGATTTGCGATCACAAGTATGATTTTAGACCAAAATTTCATGACAAGAAGTTCCATCACCACTTTATTGCATTTTTTTGAGATCGCAAATTCAATCCCCAAAACAAGTTTCGCCATTTTGGTTTGTAAAAATATTTCATTGATTCAGCATATTAAAACGGTTTTTAGAGAGTTGCAAAAGTTGTCTCTCATTGTCCTGAAATTTGACTGATTTCTATAATCAAGCCTCAGCTCAAATTTGAGTGGTTGTTGTGTTTTAGAAAAGCTGCGATCTAGAGCATGAAATGGTGCAATTTGTGAATAAATCGCACCAGTGAAAGCCAATCAGATTACAAGGATCACAACTGATTCAAAATGGATATAATAAAACCAAACGTAAATTGCTATTCATCAATGACAAGTCCAAGAAACTCCAAAATTATGCCGGGTCATGTTGCAATATATGTGGTGAAGGCGTTTTCACGGGTACAGGCTCCACTTGGAAAAAAACGTAATACTAATGCATTTGCTCATTTGTAAGGCTGGGTTCTAGAAATGCGAAAGAGGACCCAACCGAAAAAACTAAAAACAAACAGACACAGAGCTTGACAGCCTAATCTAAAAACCTATCTACATTACTATTCATTGTAATCGGATCCCTGAGGGAAATTAAACAATGTAATACGTCAAGTTTAGAAAAAGGTGAAATTTTAAAAGGTTTAGAGTCCAACGACAACTTTCCAGGCTCGTTTCCTTTTAGCCGGTTGTTGATGCGAGCTGGGACTGTTTATTGTGAATCTGTCTGTTTATCTGGGCACGCTGAAAGTCCCTGGAAAAAAAATATAATCTTAACGCATTTTATCGCATGTTCCGTAGAGTGCGTTAATCTTCTCAATTGGTTATCACTGAGGGTTAGGAGACGTGGCTGTTTTCATGATTAGCGTAGCGGAATCCGAGACTCCGTTGTATTATAGTCTTAAGAAAGAGAAACTTAACAATCAGTGTCTCACCCCCCCAAAGAGTAAATGTCGGTGGCAGCAATAACTTAGGGAAGCTTGATGAAATGTCAAGGGATTGCTTGTCATGGACAAACATACCCTCGAAGAGGAGTGGAAATTAATACTTCAAGTTTATTCAGCTTGCCGGAAAGCGGGGTAAATTTGGCTGTGATGCTAGACAGCCTCGTATGGAGACGGTGTAGAAATTAGATTCTAAAGTACACAGTCCTTAGTATGCTAAGTTGGTGGTGTGGTAGACTTTTCCACGGCAAAATTCGGCCTAACTGTATCCCTTAGATTGTAAGATCATTACAGGTCATAGCAAGAATCTTATTCGGGGGGAGGGGGGAATGGAGACGTTTAAGTCACCTTGCAAGTGAGGGAGGGTGGGGGTAGGGCTTAAAAAGTGCGACCATGATGGGAACGAACGAAGGGTTGCCTTTTTGTACACTTACGATTCCTTGCTAGATTCTGCACTGTTAAGTCGGCTTCACAACTGGCAGAACGTGTCTTGGATCTTAGTTTCGGATTGCGCGGTGGAAGCCTGGGCGAAAGACCCATCGAAGTGGCATCATTGGAAGAAGACTTTGGACTAAGGAATCCACCAGGGAGATGGTGCTGTGCCCCTGTATGCGATAAGCACTGAGATTTAATTCACACGTGGATGGGTTTATGCATAATCAGTAGTAATGACTCGTCTGGAAAACTAGGAAAAATGGTTCTTCAATTCATGTGTGTGCAAAATCTTTTGTTTTTGCTTTCTCACTTTGTGACGGAATAAATTCGTGCGAACTTTTTAGTTGGAATGTTATTGAACGCTTTTCATGGTCAGGTAAAAAAAATACAAAAGCACATCAGAGATCTGTCAGATTTACAAACTAGTCACTTGTTATTTTTAATTTTTTTAGTAGTCAGGGCCCATGCTGGATCAATGTTTTAAATCTTTAGGCAGTACACTTTCGTCAGAATGCCTCAACACCCGGAAGTCCAGGTGACAACTGTTTACTTGTAGATGACAAAGAAGAAGGGCAACTTGCAATGAACTAACATCCACTTGGAAGTGAGAAGGAATCATTGTAACTCTTCATTCTACAGCAATCATATAGGCTCTAGTTAACCACGTGTTCAGAAATTTACCTTGGATGGCAGAAAGAGGACTCCTTGTCTTAGCTGGTAGCTTCGGAGGTGAATCATTCCTTGGTTGATGTATTGTGCCATTTTCTTCACAAATTGTCAGTTTGCTGAATAAATAAGGCAGATATAATTGCATGGTTATCTGAACCTTACAATTCGCACCCTATGTTTCATCCCTTTAGCAGCTTTAAAACAGGAAGATATTTTGAAATATCACAATCATATACTTACTCCGCGAAATTGGGCTGCATTCTGTGAAAAATCTTGAAAAAAAAGAAAACGAAGATGAAACCTTCCTAAGTACAGCTAGTGATTGTAGCTTTACCATAGTTACATACGACAATAAATAATTTTAACAACAGTACCGACGTAATGCAAAGTTAGTTTAACTGTTGAAGCACTAGTAGCCGAAGTTTTAAACGTTCGCTAAATTTGAACGTAATGAGAGTTTGTAAGTTTTCATACATAAGCTAATCGAGACAAAACATTTTGAGAGAACTTACGCTTGGATCGGATCCACGTCTTTCAGTTTGGTGACCTGCAATGTTAGTGGGAAAGAAATAGTTGTTTTCGTACAGTACTATCCAATTTCTAACCCTTGCATCTGTTCTCGAACGGTGCCGTCCCATTTCGGCCATTCGTGTTCTTTTTTAGACGTTACTGTGTGATTTCAAAAGCTTGCGTTCCTTTTCGGACGGTTTCTATCGGTATTGGACCCTTGTGTTTGTTTGCAGTCGGTATTCGCTGATTTTGGACTTTAGTGTCCGATTTTGTACGGTATTGCCTGATTTAATACACTTGAGTCCGTTTTCGGACGGTACCGTCTGATTTTGGACACCTTTGTTCGTTTTTTGACGTGACCGTACTTTTTTTGGACGATACACTGAAGTCCATTTTCGGGCGGTACCGTCTGATTTTGGACACCTTTGTTCGTTTTTGGAACGATACGGTCTGACTTTGGACACTCGCCTAGTTTCTGTTTTTCGACGAAACCGTCTGCTTTGCACACTTGCATCCGTTTTTGATGCTTATCATCTGTTATTAAACAATCTTTTTATCAGTAATTTTTTTCCATCGATAAAGTTGACTAGACCGTCCGATTTCGAAAACATTTATGCAGATGGCAGATGGTGACGCAGCCACCGAACAACACATAAATTATTTTAAACAGTTAATTACATACCCAAGAGGAATTGTGGTGATTTAACTGAGCCAGGAGATCTTGGTGGTAGCGGTGGGGCAGAATTTGGTATATCATGTATAGAATGTCGCTTATTGCTGAGGCGGTTGGATCTTGGCGGTAAGACCGGGCCTAGGTCACGTGGTAGTGAGTAGGTCGGATCGTCAACTTGCTATAAAGAAGAAAAAGAGTTAAGGCGTCTTTTCACAATAGCATGAATTGCAAAACATTGACACGTTGAACATTTTATTCCTTCAATATCTTTCCGCAGTTCTTTCGAATCCTTTGGAATCTGGTGATTTAAAAAGACTAATTCAGACAGGAATAGTTATCGAAAGTCCTCTTAAGGTATTGCTAAAGGACAATTCCATTCAGAGGCACAGCTGGAAGTAAGGACAAATTTTGTATTAATTACCTCCTCGGTACCTCTTTCAATAATCTGTCTGAACGCGTTGAACGTTGCTTCATCGAAATCACCTTTCAGCCAGCCAAGTCTAATTGCGTTCTCTGCTAACGAAACTGCACTTTGAAGTTCGGGAGTCATCAAAATCGCTGTTTGAAACATGCATTCAGAAAGAAGGAAAATTAAACTCGTAACATCGTATAATCATTATGACGTCGTCAAAAGGCATCAATGGCATCATCTAGACGTCAACTATGACGTCATATTGACTAACCTACCACGAAAACTGAAGTGATCATAACGACCAAGGAAAAACATGGCGACTTTCTCAGTGGAGCGTAGGGAAGGCGTGTGAGGATGCCACGATTTGTTTTAGTTTTGCATCTTAGTGGTTTATACAGTCAATGGTTTGAACCCGTAGGTAACATGTAAAAGTGTATTTTGATCGTCTAGGTGAGGGTATTCCTGAGAAGGACTGTTGTCGGTGGTGGTGACTGACGTTTCGACAACCTGTTGAGCGGAAGTCATCATCAAAGTCAAGTGTCACTCGAGTCTGATGACGACTTCCGCTCAGGTTGTCGAAACGTCAGTCACCACCACCGATAACAGAGTTTCTCAGCACTACACTCAACCGGACGATCAAACTATACTATTACACTTAGTGGTTTATGCCAGTTTTTATTTTTTTACCAAACACAGAACGAATTAACGCAAAATAAAGGAAATTTAAAACCAAGATATGAACATACTCAAGTTGACCCAACTTATCATAGAGCCTCTGGGGCTCAGTGGCAGAGCATTAGAGCGCGGAATCCGAAGGTCTGAGGTTCGATAACCTATGAGGACTCATAATTTTTCTATGTCTCTCGCAAGTCACAAGAATTAAAAACCTTCTTCTTTTCCGCCTCGTCTTATTAGATACTCGATTGAAAGTTGGTCATCTTTTATCCTAATGTTTACTCACGGTTTGTGTTGGTTCCAATTTCTGGCATCCTTACATAGTCATGCTCTCTATCAATTTTATCTAGAGCCATGCTTGGACGCATCTCCATGTAAATGTCTTCATTTTCGTCATTATCATTAAAAACTCCCTCTTTTCCGAGCTGATTGTTATTTTTGAGGAAACATTTGTTTGACTGAAAGGAAACGAAACAAAACAAACAGAACTGACAGATTCTGTGGTCACTCAAGAGAACCCTCTCCCATGCTAACTCTTACGATGTAAATTGACGAAATCTTCTGGTAGAATATAGGCACAGTTAGCCTGAAATATGATATCGCTAAAGAGGTAATTACAAAACCAAGAGGAAACACAGATTATCTAGAATGGAGTTGGATTACAAACGAGGAACTTAAAAAATTGTTTCTCCTTGAAGGTCTTACTTGGCTGCCAATTTTATTTACATCTCATAATCAAGATCAAAAATAAAAATTTGTGGTTTCAATTTTTTTACCCGCATTTTTGCCCTGTATACGTTAAGTTAAATTTTTCGTGCTGTGCACTCGTTGTCACATGAACAGGTATCCCCGGTACTGTTGCAAAAAGTTTTGCTGTCCTTATTGAAGGGAACAGAAGAAATTCTTTTCTTATGAAAGAAAGGGTAAAATTGATAATCCTCCTTCCAAAGAAAGGAAAAATGTTCAGAAATACGTCTAACCATTTGCAAGCAGAACGTTGTCCAGTTATAGATGATCGAAGTATGCATGTTATAACCATTAGATCATTCATTATCAACTCTTTGTCCAAAATTTTACTGGTTACCTGGAAATCTTGAAGACACTTCGTTATTTCGTGGCTTCCAAGTTTTCGAGATATTTCAATGGGTGTGTTGCCGTCTACATTCTTGAGCAAGCATGCCTGGTGTGCCGCTGGGCAGTAGTGCAGGCACGCTGCTACAGTTAATGTTAGTCCGTAAGTCGCACCAAGGTGAAGTAGAGTTGGGAACCTAGTATTTGACACAGGAGGACCTGAGGAGAGATAAGAAAAAATGAATAGGGTCTTAAAATCTCTAGGGAACTTTGCGAAGGAAACAAGCGACGATGACAGAGGAAAAGTTTACACGTTGCTAGAAAATTATTTCATCACATATCTGATTAATATGCTTCGACAAACCAGCTTGTTACAATTATAAAAACCAAACCAACCTCTTTCTTGCGCCATCTTGAGCAGTTTGAATCCTTCAGGAGCTTTCTCCTTCAGTTTTCCGGCAATAACGTCGTCAAACGTTTTGAGATCAGTTGAAGAAACTCCAAGAGAATCACAAAGTAGCATATCTGGATCACTTGCTTTTTCTAATAATTCCTGAAGGAGTTGACCTCGAGCGAAAAACTCAAAAGAGCATCGAGCGATAGAGGGTTCATGCTGTTTTAGTTTGTCGTAAATGCTAACAGTCGTGGTTTCTGGGGGATAATAGACTGCAACAGAATTGAAAAATAACAATAACTTGTTGATGTTTTGAGAGAAAATGGCCGTAGACTTAAGCAAAAAATTTTTAGTTGAGTGTTGAAAGTGGTACTGGATCGACTTTGGTTCTAATAACTTTGGTTTGATATCTTTAGCTTGATTAGATAGAACCCAATGAGACATTTAAAGTAATGTTGCGATGAACATTTGTCTGCACCAATATCTCCCCCCAGTAAATCAGGGTTTCCTCTTCTCTGTTCTTCTATTTCCCTCCATGTTTTTCTGAGTGAATCGACTTCTTGATTAAAATTTTCCATAATTATCGCTTAGTTTACTTGCAATACCCTGGGCTTGGTCGCGAAAGTAACAAAAGTTTTATCTTATCATATCATCTCTACGGACATCAGCAAGGAACTTTACCTGGTGCTTGCGCCTGAAGTGTACAGCTGTTCAGTAACACTGCAGGTACTCTGAGGCAGTGGTGTTGACCTTTGAACTCGGCCTCGTAAGGTCCCCCATCGGCAAGAAGAGGTTTATTAAAGACAAAGATGACACTTTCTTTTGACTGTAAACAAAATGATAAATTACCAATGGATTGGTTTAAAGTAACTAAGCATTTAGGACAAGTGGAACACTTTCCTTTAATTGTCGGCCAAATGGTATATATAAACGGATAAATTCGAAAAGTTATGAGGCGTCTTAAAATGATCAAAATACTTCTTTTTAATAGTTATCTGTTCAATTGTGCCTTACGTCATATTGCGTCATCTTTGGGGATACAGCCACAAGCTGCCTGACAATGTCTGCAAGAGAACAGGATGTTGTTATGGAGACCACAATCCCTTTCCTTAGACAGGCAATGATGTACATCAGAAAAAGAGAGGAAAGAAGCATGCGTGCGCATATTCAACGAAACTAGTCATGGTATGAATGTTGTATCGTGATACGAACTCATTGCACGGGAACATTTCTAATAAATTCACAATTTCGATTTTGCACTTGTTCGAGCAAACGGGCACCTGGTCTGCCCTTGAACTTAGCTAACAAGTTTCCTTCTTTGTTTTGCAGGAAAAATGCGAATCTCTTCAATGGAAAGTCTCCTTACTCATAAATTTAAAGTACCAGGTTTTGAACAGAGAGGCCTATGGAAGGGAAGAGTGCCATGTGGTATAGTTGCTAGTGTATATGAAAATCGACAAAATACAATACAAACAAAGATTGTAAAGTTGAACTGCACCATACCATATATACCGTCCTCATCTTCCATATTGTCGCTTAAAATCGACGAAGCCCAACAAATTTGGTGTTCTTCAGCAACTAAACGTAATCGATAGAAAAGATGGAAAAGACCTCTGCGTGTTAAAAAAGGCACAAGGATGTTTTATTTCTTAAGTTACAGGGGCTCAATACGGTTCTTCTAATTTTTTGTAGCAGCTTTAAGAGATAGATCAGAGCAACCAAAATTTCTTACTTGGTGCTTCGATAGAAGAGTAGAAAAAAATTTGATGCCATTATTACGCTACGCTGCGCAACATGTTACCTGAGCAACAAACATTCTTGAGTTTACCCTCAAGTGCCTGTAACTCTCAAATAAATTGGGTTGCAAAATTTTTAATCAGTATCGTGGCCTTTTGTACCGTAGAATTTTAGAGCCATCATAATTTTGGGACGATTCAACGTGTTAAGTGACGCAGGTTGAGTACCCTAGGCTTGATTTTTCAAAATGCTTCAAAACGTTGCCTCGTTAAGTATTTACTACTGCTTTTAAGTGTGCATTGGCGTCATCAAATCAGTGTTTCGAAACCTCAACATGTAAGATACATTTAGGAAATCTGTTTTCTTGTTTATTATCAAACCGAGCCACTGCATTGAGGTTTCAGTTTTATTTCTGACTTTAATAACAATTAGGCATATTGAAAATGAATTCTATACGATTCGATTGTTATTCGATTGCGATTGAATAATATGCAGATTCCTTGCTTCCTGTGTAAACCCTTAGTGATGACTAATTGTCACAGAGAGATTGGAAAACGCGAAGGAACGTGACAACTGAAAATACTGATCTGATCGAAGGCTGCATGCATGCTTCACTACAGTTTCGCATTTTCTTTAACTGATCTTTATCTTACTCACCTAGTGTCACGTTATGAGTGGCCTTTTAGCTCGAAACTGTAAATTACTTTTTCGCTTTCTGTGTCACAACTCTCTCTCTAGTAAAATTCATTTCGTTCTTGCATTGCAAATCTAACATATGCACTGTTTCTTAAATTCGATTTGATACATTCTCAGATACCATTACTATGCTTAAAAGTTCGAAAAAGGTACTCAATCAAATATGTTTATTCTGATAAAACACTCCATGCCAAAGCTCTCTTGACGAGAAATTGCGCCCGCTTTTAATTGTGCATTTATTAAGTGCTCAAGGCAATTAATTAATTCTAAAAGCAGCGACCGTATTGTTGAGACGAATAGAATATCTGTGTCGAATGTCTGGAAATATATACGATTGATTCACTCTTACAAAAGTGTTACTGTAGGTACAAATCATGCATTCAGGTCTATGGTTTGTAATTACTAAAGAAAATATATTGGTAAATGTTGATTTGAGAGGTAATTTAATACCTTTGTTGCAAAATAATTCCTTACCTTGAACTTTCCAAAAGATGGCGCAGTATTTGTAGAAAACTTCACACCGACAAAATACTTAAAGTGATTTTAAGTCAGGCTATTTCTGTTTACTTACCCCTCTTCCTGGCGGATTAAAACGCTCCATAATTACTTTACGTAATTACTTTGATATCAAGAGGTCTGCGATCATAGATCCATGTTTTGCGAATAATTCACAAAGTGTTTCTACGCTGGATGGCTCTGATTCAGCACTTTTATATTTGGGACGGAATATACATGTAAGTGTTTTCATGAACGAAACTTTCTAGTGCGCGCAGTATAAACATACCTCGAAAGAGATTTCCGATTCCCGTCTGCTTGCATTTAGGGTTAAGACCTTCAAAACTCTTTCGGCCCTGCAGTAAATTAAAGCCAATTCAAGCGAAAGTGTTTGCAGCGCCTTCATAATTATCTAGTCATGGTCAGTTTAACGTATTGTCTTAAGCTGTGCACGAAAGCCAATGGTATTTAATCTGTCAAAAGCACCGATAAACATTTGATCACACACTGTTATTAAAATCAATGGAAGTTCTAAAGAACAAAAACACGAATATTATATTAGTTGGTTAAAAACTTTTATTTTTACTAGTGCACACGACATGAATGGAAAACGAAATAAAATGCCTTTCATGTTTTTTCTATTTAAAATGATTAAGTAAGTGAATCTTAAACTACAAAATAAATATTTTCCTCGATAATTGTGCAGCCTTGTTTACATTCGTGAACATAATTAATATTCGTATCTTCAACTTTTTCAATCTATTGCTCCACTCCATGTTTGGGTATTCATTCTTTGTGCCGTAAAAATTTAAAACCCCCAATCTTCAGAAAAATGCTAAAATGGTTTTAAAGTGGTCTATATATAGGTACAATTGAAACGTCAAGCTTCACAAGAGACGAAATAAACTGAGAGAATTAATTTCATATTAAGTTCGACTCTTGAATCATTTGAGTTCGCCCGATGTCATTCTATGAATAGTGCTTGTGGCTATGAAGATATCGCTAGAATGTATCTAAGTATATTAAATCTAGCGTTTTACGAGGAGCACCTGTAACTCACGCCTTTGTTTCAGAGAACAAAAGTATTTTCGATAAGTTTTGCGGACTTTTGAAACATAAGAACCAGCCCTTTGTCAAGCTTATTTTGTTTGCATAAATTTCATGACTTGAATCCAAATGTGCATGACTATTCCTTGAATTACCTAATGATTGAGGTGCACTGTATTTAGCCCTAACCCTGAGCAATTAGGACAATCACTATACGTATTCTAAAATAATTTTCAAATCTGCGCAAGTGTTCCCAGACACAAACCTGGAGTATTTGTAACTTCTTTGATTTAGTTAGTTTAGATGATCACGGGCAAGATCTATAAAACTTGAAAAAACCTAGAAAGACTTTCCCCACAGTTACACGCTTAACTTACCACACCTGTGCTTTGCAGGAAACAAAAAAGTCGGAAAATGGTCGCACTTTCAGTAGTAAGTAATTTTTAGTTGGGAATCACTACCAATTTATTCACTGCATATCAGCATGCTCCCTAAAATTCTGTGTAAAATGTTTTATTTACTTATTGAGTACGGCATAGATAAACAACTAATAAATTAATTTTCAATTGAGCGTCGCTTAAGAATGGTAAAATTCGTATACTCTGATTTCTGATTGGTTCCTTTTGTTTCTGCCATTGGAATCATGAATTTCCGGCACTCAACTGAGAATTGTTCTAAGACGAGATAATTACACTGGTATTAACTTGAAATTGAATCCCAGACTCCCCGACTGTTGAGCCACTCAGCGTGATGGGATTAGCACGCTTGTTTACCCCAAATGTGGTGGACTGGGACGACACGCTCACGGTCTTGGACATCGGTGTGGCAAAGCTGCTGCTGCGAATCATCTCCATGACGCGGTTTTTCGCAGTGAGCACGTGCCAAGCCTCCTGAAAATCCTTTTTAAGGATTCCATGTAGGAGGAAAATGACGAAACCTTGAAACGAACATGTGATCGTGAACAAGTAATGGAACACCAATGTTCCAACAGTGGCAGCTAAACCGGCGAATAACCAGTTGAGACCGAGGAGGAAAAACACGGACACCGTAGCACGGAAGTGCGACAGACGGTTGTTCTTCTCACACATGTGAGGGATGTTGTAGATTTCCTTCATAACTGCGAGGAAAATGAAAGCGTTGACAGCCATCAAGAGGAGGACTGGGGCAAGGAATGCGCCGTAGAATGCGTCTGCGTCCATCCAGCAACTGAAATGGAGACAAGCAAACTCGTTGATTCCATATGGTTGCTTTCAATTAATATGAACTAATATAAACTAATATGATTTAGAGACGAGTTTGTAAAGGTTTTTTCCTTGAATTTATATATCGCAGGTCTTAATTTGCCTTGCTTTCGATCGTGATGTTATCGTGAACTATAGCTTTTAATTCTGTCGGGATATGTATTTTTTTCAATTCCAAACCATTGCTTTATTTTGATAGGAATGGTGAAATAATTGGCAAAGTATTTCCTTTCTTACAAAACTACATGGACACAGTGATCACGCATCATATTGTGGTTATAAATCGTCTGCTGATATAAATGTTTCACTTACAGCGTTTCGTTATTCTTGTCCATGACGTGGAAGCCGTAGGACTGAGGTTCAGCCAATACAGTTATCACCACAATCATGGCAGGAACAACTGCAAAGAGACAAAATAATAAAGAAAAGGCCTTTGAAATGCAAGAATTTATTGAAAATCTTTGGTACAAATAAATAAGCGCCATTAAAGCGTTTATATCACAAAAAAAAATTATTAGTTTGGACAACAACAACTTTAAATTATTTGCAAATGTGAAGACGGCAAAGGTAATAAAAAAATCACCTAAAATAAAAATGGCAATGCAGATTACATCTGATATAGACTTTCAGAAACCTTCTTTTCATCTAAAAAATTCTGTCATCGCTCTTCGAAATCTAATAGAGAAAAACCAGGTTCACCTCATCTATATTCCTCACGTTCCTAATTGATATCGTTTCGACCTCTTTGTCTCCCTCTTCTTTTTCTTTGTTTCTCTTTACCTCAAGGGTTCATATACTAAGGGTTTGCGAGATTTTGGCTCATTAAATATGACAAAGCAAAGTTTACGTACTCCATCCCACCACTCCCGCCCTGCACATGAACTCGTTTTGTGAAATAAATGTGGTGTCAAACACTTTGACCAGGTCTTGATACATGTTGTATGCCTCGATACTCATCCAGACAATAGAGGAGAGTAGGAAATAATGAAGAAGGGCTGCTATGGCTTTACAAACGTCCAGTGAGTCTGAGCCTGTCATGCCGTTGATACCAAATGTAAACAGCAATATGGCGGCCAGGAGGGACACACACAAATACGCTAGTATTTGGTTTTGGCGAAGGCGACGAAGCTTCCTGTCGAAGAAGATCGAAAGTTATGAGAAATAAGGGTTGAGGGAACTATATAGTGAACATTCTAAAGGAAAACATGCATTATTTTTTTTTTAATCATATAAGCACCATGGGCCTTTACTGACAAGAAAAGGAAACTTTATTAATGAACGACTTTGGATTGAGAATGGCGAATGCTTTGCCATTCAAACGTCAACCCGACAGAATGGCGCAAAGGGTTAGTGACTTGTCAGCAACTGATTGGCGATACGAAACACACATAAAAAAAAACTATCGTGATTTGACACGTGTCTGGTTACAGCTTTTCTCGGGGATGGACGTCCTTGTACTCAACTGCCTGAGTTTGTTTAATACAATCAGATTACTTAAGACCCCTTTTCTTACAAACAACTAATACTCTCAGAAATGTGCTTGAACGCCGTGCAGGCTTCGCGCTTCTTTTTACAGTAGCCTTAAGCCTCATTCCAACTCAGGAATCGCTATTTTAGAACAATGCTCATTTAGGACATTAAGGGGATGTTATCCTTTCTTGAGGTTAAAATCAAATGAAAAGGAAGCAGGTCTGTAACAGGAATCTCTTTGATTCATAGTCTCTTGATCCTTTTTACCTTGAGAGGGTGATGGTTAAAATCGTGAAAAACAGCCCCAAAATAGATAAAGTACATCCAACGTAAGAAATGATTGACAGCGCGTTCTGGTGACTCTCTGGGATGTCATCGCTTTTTCGCAAAAGTATCTGCGATTCAAAATTATATTTCGCCTTGAGAAGATCCAGATAGTTCGTCACTTGGGTTTCGGGGAGCTCCTAAGCGGTAAGAACAAATATTTTCTTGTCAACATATAGCCCAGAAATGAGCAATAAGTTTTGCTTCTCAATAATTTTAAGACTGTGCCTTGCCTAAATAGGTACCCTTCAGAATGCTCTAAACAAAGATAAAATGTCAGAGGTGAACGTTATCTGAGAATTACGTCAATTAAAGAATGATATAGATGATGTCCCACCTCGAAAACGAAACTTGTTTTGTTAAGCCAAACTGTGGGATACAGTTGGAAATGCACTACTCCTCTGAGGTACTGCCAACAGGCATTTCGTATTTGTTTTTTAAGTAAAGGAAAATCTTTGGATGGGTCCGTCATGTTTACATCCAGTTGTATCACTATGATGAAGTAGACCCCGCTAAAAGAGACAGGTTATGAATATTAAATGCATTTTAAGGAAGTATCGTTTGTCTCGCGATCTTTTGACCGCAAACTTCTGGTCTTCTTCAGGTTATGAGGTTATCTTGTAAATATATATCTATATTCTCCACACTTTTCTCTATCTATTTCCCAAGGTACTGACGAGGGGCATTTGTTTTAACAATCAAGAGCTTTTAAGTTGGTGATCATTTTCTTTATTCTCATGATTCAAGGGTGACATTGTGAGGAGAAACTAGATGCTAGTCACTTTCAGGGGTCAAAGTGCTAAGCTTGTGAAACAAACAATGATTTATTAATTCATGTCGTGAAACAAGCATTAGTTTTAGAATCGTCATTTGCAATGATGAAAAACCACAACCTAACTTGGTAACTTAGCGTTATTAAACACATGCTTTTCAAAACATCAAAGGAAACTAGTGAATCAATTAACATACTTTATTACCTTTCTTCTTTGTTTTCGTCTGGTTGAAGTACTTCTTTCTCTGTTGTATTAATAGCCGGCTCACCAAGTGAAGGAAGTCTGAACAATCAAAATTTCAAGATGAGAAGAGACATAAGAATTATCAATCTGAATTTGATCCATACAGCTATTTTCCTGAGCTCATACAGGAGAGGAGAGAAGAGAACGTTTAAAGACATTTTTGTATTAGTGGCAGTAATTCATTCCATCCAGGAATTCAGATTCTAACTGAACTCACTATATTACGGAACGTAGTTTGTAATTTGTCTTACCTGAAGAAAATACCTTTAGATGTCTTGTTTAAAAGCACAGAATCTTCAAACAGTTTGATTTTGGTAAAAAAGTCAAACATTTTCCAGAACTGAAACGAGAAGGTTATAGTGTTTGGTGACAACATTTTTGAAAGAAAACTGTTTATTAAGTAGGTAATCAATACAGCATTCGAAAAAAGAAATTAAAGTAAGATTTTGCAGAATTCGTGGATTAGGGGTCTAAGCGAAAAATGACGAGTTTAAAATTCCAAGGAAATTTGCTTACTGTGTAAGCACCACTCACATTGAGACAACTTACACAATGGAACGTTAAGTTGGAAGTAAATTTGTTTACTTTGACTCTCTCCCAATCACAATGCTTTACGCGTAATACAGTGCTAAGCCTCGGAGTGAAAATTCATTGTTTTTAGTTCAATCTTACTCTGTGCAGCTGGAAGAACAATCAGCAGCTTATCATTACTTACCCCAGCTTTGACGTCATCAGCAAGAATTCGACACGGCTCGCAATTTTTCGTAAAAAACTCTTTTGTGAAGTTGTGATTTAAAATAACTCCTGATGCACGGTAATAGACTGATACGTTTTCTCCTCTACAAAACCCTGCTAAAGATACAACGTTGAACAAACATGTTATTATAAGTTTCAATGCTTCATAAGTGGTCTTCGCCAGGCCGCGGCACTGAGCGCGTTCATGAAATAAAAAGATAATCACCTTAAGGGACTGGCCTTTATTTATCGCCTGAGAAAAATGAATTTAGTAGAGAAACACCGTTGAAATAAATCTTCAGATTCAGGCCTTTTTTTTTCATTTACTCCTTCTCTGTTGCAAAATGATTCGTCTCTAGTGTTCTAGGGTCTCTCAATTCCTGATCATCATTTATTTACACACAGTAAACTGAAGGAAAAATACAATTTGAGTGACTCGCTTGGGAAGAAATATCCGATTTGATAGATGAAACATAAGGTTTATTCTTAGCGGTAATGGTCGACATACAGATGATATCACAAAAGAAAAATCCTTCACTGAAAATTGTGTTCAACATGTAGTCGTGCATCAAATACCCCAAAAGTCATATTCCACTAAGATCACTTGGTACAATATTAAATTTTACCACTATAGGACTATTGAAAGGTCATGATAAACAGAACTATAGCCAGAGCCAAACATTTTCAATATATTTGTATTGCTATTGAACCAGCTGAACCAGCAATCGGTCCCTTACAAAGAGTTTTGAGATCAATCACACGGTATATCTTGTTACCATTATTTCCAACAGTCAAGAGTACAATTTCACAATGATTCGCTAAAAAAGGGAATATTAAATGCATTTGTGTGAAATGGCTTGAAATTGGTAATGGAGCGGATCCGAAATAGATATTTAATTTTTTAACATCCCAACGGATAGAAAATGAAAATAATAATTTAATTTATTTTACTCAATTGATAAAGACAAGTTGTCATGTTATAACCCCACAAGTGTAGCGCTACAGTTTCTATGGAAACTGAACCTTTTTAATTATATATATATATTTTTAAAGATTTAGATCGTGTGTCGCGTTTCTTCTCCAATACGCAGTAGTATACTATTCGGTTTTCCATTTCTTAGCATTGTTTGACCATAAAAAACTTTAATTTAAACTCGAAAACTATTTGCACAATTGAAATGAATTGATGGCATCGCTGTCACAAGATACCGTCTTTCATGGAACACATCCTGTTCTTGATAAATCTTGCAACCAAACTTACCTATATGCAGTCCAATTAGAATTCCAATCGCGAAACGCAACATTGACGGCTTCATCAGGTAATACCTTAAGGTCTTCTAAAAATAGAAACATTTTCCCATGTAAGAGGTAAAAAAATATTCCAAATGTGTTACATGAAAGTTTCAAACTATAAGTTTGTGAATGTCTACATATTTTTTAACTTTATAGTCACTTTTTTTCCAGTATTTTAATAAATACACTGATACAATTACAAACCAGTATGTAGAGTACTAGATGCAACGGTTTACAGTCAAGTCGCCCGAGAGTCATCCCGCCCGAAGTCATGTCGCCCGAAACCTGAGTCATTTTGCCCGAAATTTTAGCTGTGTCGCCCGAAAAAAAAAAGTCAAGTCGCCCGAAGAAACAAATATTAAAAAGATTAGAATTTCAGACTGTTAATAGGCAATAACGTTGAGAAATTTTTATCACTAAAGCGCTCTTTGTTTTCGACAACGCCATGAAGATTCTTAAAGCGTTGTTCGTTCTTAACAACAAAGGGAAACGGTGTTCGTTTCCAACAACAAAATGAAGCGTTTTTCGTTTTGTATGTAACCGTTTCTTACTCACGGACGTTTCGTAAGCTTGAGAAACTCTTTCATGGTATCTAACAATGCCATGAAGACTGACTACACAGAAATCGATTGTATGCTCGGAATACAAATATGTTTTAGTAACGATTCTAAAAGCGTTGTTCGTTCCTAACAACAAAGATAACGGTCTATTGTTTATGCTTGTGACTTTAATCACGGTAGTAGTCTGAAAGCATCATTTCCCTTGTCAGAATCAGATCAGAATAGGCAGTTTTTCAGTGCAGTGCCATATGATCGACCGTAATCGTCGCACTATAGGGCTTGTTGGCGTGGTTGAACTTCACCATCACACTCAATGCAAGGATGAATGCTCATTTTGATCAGTTCGTATTCGTATTGTAGCTAGCTTTACCCTATTCATATATACTTTGATCGGATCGAAATATACATGCGACCGCCAGAGGAAACAGAGCACAACTATATAATTTATGCCTATTCTAATCCTAAGGGAAATGATGCTATCAGACTACTATTGTGAGCGTGCTCTATGAGAGTATAGAGCATAGAACTGAGCTAAAGCTGTCACGCCATCTGCCAAATCGTACTATGTCCGACCTTTTCCGGGACTTCTTTCTAGCTTTTCTTTCGTTAATAAAAGTGAAATTTCGGAACAAGCGAGCAAAGGTTTGCAAAAATGCCAGGCGCAGTAATTTACGTTACTGTAACGTGAGCAGAGACAAAAATCCTCAAAGATAAAACAAGATAGACAGTCCGAGTTTTTTTAACGGTTTTCACGCTCAGTTAGATTGCGAGTTTACGTACGGTAATAAAAATCAAACACAGCTAACACTTGTATAGTATATAAAGTTTCGATTTCAAATAGAAAAAAACAGGAATTATGAAAAATATAACCTGGCATAACTGTTAAAATTCATACTAATCATGACGGTGTCAGAGCGACTTAAGGTCTATCGCGGCTAGCTAATCATGGCGATCTTCGGTCATCGCAGTGGAGCAAGCCTCAGGAACTAAATCGACTACCCTTCGAGTGAAAAAATAAGAGCTTGCCCTGATTACCTTTCCGGTGCGTTGAGTCGGTGGAAGGCCAGATCAGTCACTGCAACCGAGTTTTACGGCGTTGTCACTCCGAGCGATCTTCTTGTCTTAGTGAATTCGGCTGTTGTTCATTCGTAATACACTCGCCTTGAACAGTTTGTTTTCTATTTGTTATGTGAAATAACTTGCGTATTTTTTTGTGAGCCACGATTGGGCCGAATTTCACTGAACATTTCACTTTCAGATCCTGTATTAGAAACTAAAAAACTTCAGGCAAAAGTGTTAAATTCGACACGCCGAGCTATTTTAGTTTGTAAACCATTGCAGAATATGAACTTTGATGGTTTTTGAACTTTGATGGTTTGACACTTTTGACAGCTTTAGTCTTGTACAGCCAATCAGATTATTTGAAACATTCTAACAGGAATTCTAATTGGCTTATTGTAGCGTGCTTTATGAGAGTATAGAGCATGCTGACGACACTGTTGTTCGCTTTGGGAATAAGATTTGTTTTGAAAATTGAAAGTAATTCTTGGGGAATTTAACGGATTCTTTATTATAAAACAAATAGAGAAGCCTTGACTGTGCTCTGTTCTGTTGTAAAGCACGCAGGAAGCGGCTAGAGCACTCAAGAAGTATGGAGAAACACTCGACTACGTCTCGTGTTTCCCCCTACACTTCTTTCGTGCTCTAGCCGCTTCCTGCGTGCTTTACAACAGAACAGAGCACAGTCAAGGCTTCTCTATTTGTTAAGTTACGCTGTATCCGTCCATTTGTTGTTATAGAAACGAACAACGCTTCCCTCTGTTGTTGGAAACGAACAACACTTTTAGAGTTGTTACTCAAACATATTTCAATTCTGACCATACAATCGATTCCTGTGTAGTTAAAGTCTTCATGGTATTGTTAGAAACCAAGAAAGAGTTTCTCAAGCTTACGAAACGTCCGTGAGTAAGAAACGGTTACATACCAAACGAAAAACGCCTCATTTTGTTGTTGGAAACGAACAACGTTTCCCTTTGTTATTAGGAACGAATAACGCTTTAAGAATCTTCATGGTGTTGTCGGAAACAAAGAGCGCGTTAGTGATTAAAATTTTTTCAACGTTATTGCCTATTAACAGTCTGAAATTCTTATGTTTTTAGCATTTGTTTCATCAGGCGACTTGACTTTTTTTTTCAGGCGACATAACTAAAATTTCGGGCAACATGACTCAGGTTTCGAGCGACATGACTTCGGGCGAGATGACTCTCGAGAGACTTGACCGGAGAAGGAGAGAAAGTTGAGCTATTTCCCAAGAGAATTCAGTGCAATTCAAAATGACTAACTGTTTTGAAATGAGAATAAAGATCTATTCCTTTTCATAGCTTTACCTGGATCATCAGCTACTGTAAACCGTTCATGTTGCAAACGATGAAAATTAAATCATGTATTTAAATCATGGAAATTCAGTGTTGATAAGTCTCTCATTTTGCTGCCAGAATCCCTTAGTGGACAATTAATTGAAGCGGTGCACACTTACCTAAATGAAACCTCATAAATCTATCAAGTTATAACCTTTGCAAGCCACTCGACCAGGCTTCGAAAATATTGAGTCATTTTAAATAAATAAGCGATTTTTTTTATAAAGTAAGGCATATAGAATCAAATTTTTCTTAATTTTAAATTCCTTTTTCCCCAAAGGTACGAAGCATAGCTACAATGGATATCAAACTCTGGTTACAATTCAACTTATAAAACTTATAATAGACCTTGAGTAATACACGAGTATTAAAGCGAGTTTCCCTCTGTAAATGCATTACACTTACTTAACTCTTAAAGCTTCGCTGAGATAAATTGTGATCTCTTTTACAGAATATCTTTTATGGAATTTTCAAGGAAAAGCATTCCTCTTTTTTCAAGAAAGAACTCTTGGTATCGTTCGAACTAAGCTGCTTTTTTTGCAATTTAGGTTCATTACTGACGGAAGGAATTAATGACTTGTTCAATGTCAACATTAATCGCCCGTTTACGCTGAACATTGAGAGCGCAATATTTCTGTTTCAGTTTAAAGCTCTTTAAGTGAAAGTTTAAAACCAAATGCTTTGTAGTTCTTAGTTTACTACGCTTCATTAAACATTGTTTTAATAGACATGTATTAAATCATCCTTACGCCATCCTTAGGAGAAAAAAAAAACCAACAATAAGTCGCGTAGATTATTTAAAAAAAAATCGAATAACGCCAAAACAATCAATGTTACCTTGCAATTAAAATTTGTTTCCTCCGCACTGATTCTCGGCAAAAGGGTAAACGTTAACGATGAATTTTTTAAAATTTTAGTCGATCAGAATCAATTTAATTAATAAAAAAAAACGCCGACCCGAATCGTAGTGGTAGATAGAGAGGACGTTTGAAAGGTAAACTACCGCAATTACTGACCAGAGGCAGGTACAACACAGTAATTGACATCTGTCGCTTTCTTTACTCACCTGGCTTACACAAATGAAAATTAAAAGAACTTTCAACCTAAAAAACAAACTCTACATATAGCAACATAATATAATATAACGCGAGAAGCGACATTGCCTCTAAAAAGACAAAATAACTGAAGAAATACCCCCATTATCTAGTCTAAATTATAAAATTGACGTTCTCAGTAAAATGTTCATTAAGGAAAGCATCAGATATAGGTTCTTTTGTAATTTGTATCTTGTTTGCGACGTTGAAGAACAAGGTGTGAAAATTCGAATTTCGCATAATAATTTTGAACTGACGCTACGACAGGTGAAAGTGTCTCAAGATTTGCTTACTTTTTTAAAATCTCAGATTTTTAGCATTGTCAACATTAAGTCACTGATCGAGCGACATTCCTTCATTGCGCGCGCATTATTTTTGTCAGTTAGGGAGAACTTGATTGAAAATGCTTGAGTCCAAGATGACTCCAGAATTCCTTCTATGCTGTGCTGAACCATCATAACACATGAACTGAGCAATCAGACATAGTTCTAAATAGTCTTTCAGCAACAAGTTAGTACTTCGGTTTTGAAGTATTCTGGGATATTTTAAGCCCTTCAAAATCTTCTGAGTCTCCTGAATTAAACATTAAGTAACTTAGAGATTTTTTCATCATTACAAGATATCAACCAGAATAAGTTCTCTCTCAGTGGAATGAATATCACTGTATTCGAAATCAAGCATTCAGTCGTAAAAAGGGCGTTTATTTAAAGTTGGAGTTAGTGATTCATAATTAGTAGATACTGATGGCGTTTTTGCGTGGTGGCACTTGTTATTTAGCAATGCCATTGTGGAAATTCTGGGCTCGATTATCTCTGAATTGTGTTAACGAGATCCAATCACAAATAAATTGCCTTTATTTTACTCATAAGGACCTTGGCACGACGTTTTATTTTCGAAACGAACCCATTTAATGGCAGGTAATCGAGGAGTGGATACGGCCCGTGTAAGAGAGATTGGGCACGTAGGAAGGTGTCCAACTGCGGTATGTTTTACTTAGAAACGATCACAATGGAGAATTTTAGCATAAAAGGTACGCTTCAGTGAAATGAGAATGAAGGTGCTGCTGGGAAGAAGACTTCAACCTGGCACCCATCATTAAGGCTACATCAAACGGGCTTTCTTGAACTAAAGATAAAGTCACAAAGTAGAAAAAATTGAATTTTTGACAATGTCATTGTGGGCTTCATCTAACGAGATGCTGAAGTTCTCAGCTTTTCCCACGTCTTTGTGGGTATTCATTCAAAATTCTAAAGTTCTTGAATGCTGTTTTGCAATTTGGTGGGGATAGACGAAAGAACTACATGGATGTATCTGTGATATGGCATTGAATAAAACAGGTTCATACTTCGCATTACAATGAGCGAGGAAAAACGTCTTGCATTTGATAGATTATCAGTTATTGCGTGCAACTAAAGGTATTTAACGTTGACTTACGTTGGTGTTTGACGTTGAAAGCTAAAGAAGTCAAATCCCGCCATACTGTTGATTTTGAATGCTAAATCAATAAACTAAAAAAAGTAATGGGAGCTTTACAAATGAGATTCATGTTTCACTGGTAAACTCTGGGAAAGCAACAGTTGATCAAGCTCATTTCAATTTGCTTCAGACTGTTTTTAGGGGGTGGAGGGTAATAGACAAATAATTTCAACCTTTACTATTGTATATCTTAGGAGTGTTCTTCTTTTCAAAAAAAAGAAAGCATCCCACATGTTTCCCTGCATTGCTCACACCGTGACAACAAAATACCATACTTTGGGCCAGTGTTTAATTCATTTAAAGCTCAGAGATAGCTGTATTCAAGCTGAATATCAAGATCAAAAGCTTCTATTTCAATTGCTAGATCAGACTCTCGAACGATTATTTAGTTCTTTTGTTTAAACTTAAACCAGAGATCAGTTGCGTGCCTGTCTTTAAACTAAAACGTGACTTGAATAAGTTCTGAAATATTTCATTACCTTTTTTCATCGATGATGTATTTGTGTACGTTCAGCTGAATTTGATACGAACTACTGAAGTGATGTCAAGAATATCAGGAACTTAGATACAATATGATAGATACAAAAAGAAATAACTGTTCAAATACATAGCACTATTTCTTCAGTACTTCTGTTTTAATTTTATAGTCCCTCCTATGGCGCCGTAACTGGCAGTGGCCGTGAGAACATAATCACTGCACTCATTATCACTTTAGTGTTCTAGCATCCTCACTACTAATTCCCCCTTCACTGCGTTATATAAAAGTTTCCCCTATCAAAAAAGGCTTCAATTCAAATATCCCCTGTATAAGATTCTTTAACCACAAGCAATTGTGAAAATCGCCCTGGAAGAATGAAAAAACACTACGTTGCAAGTCAAACAACTAAATTTTAAACTAGGGCCGTACAGAAAGACAGCTGTAAAAACTGAAACCACTTACCTTTTCAGAAAAACACCAAGTGGAATACAGTTTCTTACATTTTTTCCATATACATCACAACGTAAGTAGGAGAGATAATTTTCCAAATAAATTTCTTGGTTCAAATTCAGTAAAAAATTGTTTTAGCCGTAACTGAACGTGATCGAAATAATAGATTTAAGGCAAGCAAATTGGAGAAAAAATATTCCGTAGCAATTACGACATATGTAAGCAGGTGACCCAAAATTCCGTTGTTTGACTGTCAAAACCTCAAAGATTCCCAATATGCGATTGGCCAAGTAAGCTTTCCGTGATTGTGCAGTCTAGTGTGCACTCTAGCTGTGACAATAGTTCGATTCAATCTTTTTTTTAAAAGCTGTAAGATGCTTGCGGTCGTTTATTGATTACTTAGGCATATTTAGGGCTAATGTCATGTGTATAAGGTCTTTTAGCGTATCAATTTCATTTTCGTGATATACATACATCGGATCAACATCAGTATCTGGGCAACTGCCCACCTACCCCTCCCCTAATCCAACATTAACCTTGACTTGTTGTCAATTGACAACAAGTCAAGGTTAATGTTAGGTTAGGGGAGGGGTAGGTGGGCAATTGCCCAGATACTGATATTGATCCCATACATCTTAAGAACCGAGTCCGAGGTGCGCAATGCAAGGTGCCGGACGAAGTTTTTCCGTTTTGGCCTACGGCCCAAGCACGAAGCGCTTAGGCCATAAATTTGAGCAGGAAAATTAGGTTCCTAACTTACATTATTATGTGGGGGGAAGTATTTTACAGGGAACAGAAGCAATTGTAGAACCAACACGACCATTTAATCCGGCAACCGAGTGGCATATTTTTCGTATGTAACACGAGTGGTCACATTAGGCACTGAACAACGTCACGATTCCCGCCTTTTCAAACTTTGCTGAATCAGCTTGATTTGTTTGTTGTTTGCCATGATGACAGCCGCAAGATTTGTTGTGGTAGGCGACGAAATGTAAATGAACGACAAGAGAGCGGGAACACCATGAAGAAAACGCTGTAAGATCTAAAGAAATTTGCATCGAAACAAACTACGGTAACCTTGCTATGTTCGTGCTGAACAGCTTTCAAAGGTTCGTCGTGAAAAGAGGCTGAAAAGTCAGAGTCGGCAATCGACTTTTTATTAAGCTTTTTTCAAACTATATCACATGTGTTTTGGCCAAACTGACAGTGTTACAGTGTGTATTCAAACCTATTTATAATTTGGGCATGGGATAATTTTATTAATACCCAGTATTTGGCTACACACAGAAGCCCGTTAATTTTCGAGGGGCTTCCAATTTTTGAATTTTGAAATTATCTCTGCTATCACAAAATAACTACTGCTAGCTTTGAGGTGGATTTCGCATTCTTAATTTTATGTGGAAATAGCCGAGAATTCTAGTCTGCCATCAAAATAGTAAAAGCCGTCGAAAAAATAAACGAAACGTATTTGACCATAGAAGACAGGACAGCGGTGTAACTTGAATTGTTCCCACAGTTGTTATTATTATTATTATTATTATTATTATTATTATTATTATTATTATTGTTGTTGTTATTATTGGTCCTCAAAAGCTTCAAGTAGCCAGAGAGTTGGCTTTCGGGAATTTCCTGGGAATATAAAAGATCACATTATCAATCCTTGACAAAGCGTAGATGATTTAAAAAGTGCACGAACTGATCATTAATACTTGGATGATTATAAACGTCCTAATTTCAGCGAAATATCTCGAATAATGACGCCACACCTTAGAAATTAATCTTTACCTTTTTACTAACTTATGTATTTCATAATTCAAAATAATACTTGAAGCATATGCATTTCAAGCTTTGTTTCACAAAGTATTTTCAATTCGCAGCATTTGGAAAGGACTAATTATTTCTCTTTACTTTGATTGTATTTTGTTTTACGTCCTTCGAAGCATATATTTTTTTAAAATTTCTTTTAAGGTGCTCGGCCAATATCCTCAAGTTGCCTAGCACATGATAGCCTTACATAGTCACGACTACATTAAATTCCTTATTTAGATATCACTTTTGTTTTACGATGGCGATCACGAACCTTAACCCGAATTGAAAATTCGTTTGGTTTAACAAAAGTGTGGGATACAGTTGGAAATGAGCTACCCCTCTAAGGTACTGCCAACAGGCACAAGTTTTTCTTGTCAAGAATTTTAAGACTGTGCCTTGCCGAAATAGATGCCCTTCAGAATGCTCTAAACAAAGATAAAATGTCATCGGTGAACGTTATATAAGAAGTACATCTATCGATCAATAGCGATTGGATGAAACTTTTGACGGTAAAAATCAACGGTAAAATACGACGTTTCGACCTAACTTCGGTCATTTTCAAGTGAGTGCATGGTAAGAATGTAATGATGAATATATCTCTAGGTGTGTAAGAAGTGTAAAAAAATTTTGAAAGTGTAAACGGACAATAAGAACATACAAGGCGAAGAAATAATTAGAAGCTAATTAAAAAAAAATAAAATTAAAAACCTAATTAAAAACCTTTGCACGAATTGAGTCCGACTGCACATTGAGAGCGGGTCTCAGTTCTTGAATAAAAAACACTTCATAAAGTAGGCAGTCTAATTTGTTCGTGCACTTCTTTAAAACACTAAAATTCTTCGTTAGATCCCCTGGGGCCAAAGAATGCTTGTCACGAAAATGCTTGCCAATGGATGAAGTCGAGCTTCTGTGTTCTTGAACATGTTGGTGCAGATGGCGGCGTCATCTGCATCAACGAAGAATTTTAGTGTTTTAAAGAGGCGCACGAACAAATTTGACTGCCTTCTTATGATCTTACATTTGACTGCCGAAGTTAGGTCGAAACGTTGTATTTTACCGTTGATTTTACAGTCAAATACATCCATTGAAGAATGATATAGATAATGTCCTCACCTGGAAAACGAAACCTGTTTTGTTTAGCCAAACTGTGGGAAACAGTTGGAAATGCACCACCATTCTGAGGTACTGCCAACAGGCATTTTGTATTCGTTCTTTAAGTACAAGAAAATCTTTGGACGAGTTTGTCATGTTTACATCCAGTCGCATCACCATGATGAAGAACACGCCACTACAATAAAAAATATATGGATCGTTTGAGCGAGAGAATTTCTAATGTACTCATCATGAGGTAGACATGGCTTACATTTCCTCTTTTTCTGCGTCAGGGGGAAATTCAGCTGCTTCTGTGGCGTTGATAACTGGTCCACCAACTGATGGAGGTCTGAAGAACGATGTAAGATCAAAAGAAGGTTTACGAACGCAAAAAAAATTAACTTAGATCACAGGTGGTAAACTCGAAGATTGTCGTCTAAGTATTTTAGTGTATACAAACCATTAGGTGACTCAGAGGCATACTCTAAACACAGAGGGGAGTGAAGTCACTCGGGAATCCATCACTTACTGATCACTAAAACCATTAGTGTGATTCCTCGCGCTATTAAGGTGAACAGGCAAAGTTGTGACGTCATATTTCTAAAGGACGTTAAACGGAGGCTGTTTAGGCGATATTTGTATGGAGAACTCAGGAACAAGCAACATGGTTTATAAACTCTTGTATAATAGGAATCGGATAGCATTTTTTAAAGGCATATAGAATCGCTATCAGCAAATACATTTATTAAAATTATTTCGAGCGTTAAGGCGGCATTTACTGTTCTGTGAAGATACACGGGTTACCAAGGGCTGTGGACTTCCAAAGTCGAGACGTAGTGCGGTGCCTTTTCTTATCGAGCTTTAGAGGTATTAGGCATGAAAGATTTTCGACAAGGAAGGAAAAAAACAAACCCAAAAACAAGAAATCGACTAGACAACAACTGAAGAGAAATAATAATAAAAACCAGTGCGTTGCAATAATCTTTTTTTTTCTTCCTACCTGAAGAAAACGCCCTCTGAAGTCTTATTTAGTAAGGTTGAATCTCCGAACAGGTTTAATTGGACAAAAAAGTCAAACATTTTCCAAAACTAAATAGTGAGAGAAAAAATTCTAGCAATTAGTGGATGGGAATGATGGGAGAAATGCTTGAACTATAATAGAACAAAAGGTCACAGTTTTGAAAACGGATAATATTTACTTACTCCATTCTTCACATCAACAGAAAGAGTGTTACATGGCTCACAATCTCTCTGATCTTTCACAAAAAAGTCTTTTGTGAAGTTGTGACTAGAAACCACTCCAGAAGCGCTATAATGGACTGACACAATTTCACCATGACAAAAACCTATTGCAAGTGAGAAATAACGTAGAGTCAACTTCAAAAGTGTTTCTTACATACTGTAGTTTCTCAAAGAATCGCCCACGCTATAATAAGCACCCCCCCCCCGAAAAAGCACGCGACCCCCTAAGCCATAATGGGCAGTCACTTTCGTTTATGCCAGTCGGCGTTCAAGTGCGCTTCCACTCCCTCCTACGCTACCCCTCTCGCGAGGACGTAATTTTATTATTACCGTTATCAATAAACTGATTTTTGGCCCAAACGCGTCTCATCATCATTCTGTGTATCACGGGGTTAGAAATTGTATCAAAACATCAGTTTAATTGAAGGATGAGGAGTCGATCAGGTGCAGGAAGAATGTAAATTTCATTTTAAGAAAAAGAGTATATTATGTGGTTCCAGAAAATATCCATACCCCCCTCTGCCGCCCTGGAATTTCCGTGCTTTTTGCGTTACGTTTCCTTGACCTTTGGAACGTCAGATTTTTACAAAAGAACTCCCAGAAAATTGCTCTCGTAGAGTGGCAAAAATTCATTTACTAATGAAGATAGCTGCTGAGTCAGGTAAACACAACTACGCTGTGAAAGTCATGGGCTCCTGGTGAAAGTCGATGCTTTTAAGATGCGTAGCGCGTTTACTTTGTTCTAGCAACGACGTATCAAGTAACACCTTCTTTCGAGTTAAAAATAAATTGAGTCGATATTGTGTTAAAACTTTGCACTCATTTTCTGCCAATCAGAAGCGCGTAATTATATCATGTACATTGATTGAAAAATTATGATCACGTATATTCTTTAATTAGAGAAGAAAACTTGTGGCATTCGTTAACATGCACCTCCCAGAGTTGTTTATACTTCATCGTTTGCAAATATTGAACTTTGTTAATAGCCGTCCTATGTAATGTAAACATCAGCAGCTAGTCCAGCAACATGATTAAAACACGGTGATCACTAACAAGTATATTCTCACAACGAGTGTCTGAAAAATTGTTTACGATTTACAGCGGAACGACGAAATAGGCGAAACGCGAAAGTTCTAAACACAGACGAGCGGAATATCCACTCAGAAGGAGAGCAAAATCACACATGTTCTTTCAACACCTTACTTCGACCCAAACTTGTGCTCTCCTTAAAACTGTCAATCGAAACCAGTTTGACGTAATACGAAGTGGTCACACAATAGTCACGCAATAGTCTGTCCAAATCGAACTACGAACACAGAGGACTCAGACTTAGACTGAGGCAATTTCCATGGTTAAATTAAGTTCTTAGGTATTTAGGGCGTTTATTTGAGAACTTTACACAACAGGGAGTTTTAGACCATGTGTTATGAACATTTATCCATTTTATAGTTGGTTCCGTAAAAAGCGAAAGAAAAATTCTGCGGCAAGTGCCTCGTTTTGCCTCATACTGGCTATAGCCCCTGGAAAGCACGAGTTCACGCACGCATATGCGTCTTGTTCAATAAGTATTATACTCACGAACAACCTTTGCGTACGACCTTTAGTTGTGGATTACCCCACACACAATGCCTCACCCTTCCCTCTTTTCTTGAACAGAGTACATTCCGCTCAGTTAATTACACGACATAGCGAATAACTCGTGAATAAGCGCATCCATTTTGCAGACTAATGCCACTATCACAATGCACGGTCACAAAGAGAAATTGAACAAAAGTAGCAAATAACACTAAATTCAGGGTAATAATCTCTCTCTCTATTTTGAGTACATACCTACGAGCAGGGAAACGAAAAGAAGAAGTGTAAAATGTTGTTCCATCGCCTTTATCTTCTGATAACACACTGACATCTAAAACACAGAATTAGAAACTTACTTCAAGATATCTAATCCCTTATCTAATATCTGTATCCCGTATCCCTTATCTGAGTCTCTTAACTGAAGGAGGTTATGAAATACCATTTTAATAGGAACGAAACACTCAAAAGAGGCATTAATAAACCATGGATGAACGATAGATAATTATCTTAATCACAAACTTAAATTAGTATAAAATAAGATTTTTAAGGATATGAAAACTTCATGTCCTCGTGACTGACCTTACAAGTGTGGGTGGGAAACGGTCGAAAGCACGTAGAGGGGAGTGGACAGGATCTTCTCGCCTTTCCCCGCCCCCTCCCCCACCGTCCTTTCTAACCCTAAATCAAACATGGCCGCTCAAAAAGACGCTTGCACTGCAACCTTACAGCAGAAAGGCCTGCTAATTCGACCAATAACAGCGCGCGTACGATATATCTGAGAGGTGAAATTAACTGTCATAAAGATTGCACTGATGTTTAGGAAAAGATGATCTATGAGTTGGAATCCATTCGGAGGATTTTTTATTTCCACCTTTCAAATTGATTAGATGATAAAGTCGCTCTTGATTCAGCTTAATTTGGCGCATATTTTCTAGGTCACAAGGTCCCTTACTATTTTATTTTATTTACATTGTCGTATCTGTCATCAGATTTAATCTTCAAGTGACAGATAAGGTTAGACATTGGAACAAACAAGATCAGTGCAGACGATGAGAACTGACTAATTCAATTTTTCTTTCTAATATCCCCAGCTATGTCCGATTCGATTAATGTCCCTTTGTGAGAAAAAGTTACTAAGAATAACAGACAGAGTTTTGATTGGAGTTAGAAGAGGTTACTTCAGCTCCTTTTTAAAGTCTAGTTTTAATAAGCAAATTCTCCTTCTTGTTGAGACATATTCTCGAGTGGATGAAAATTCTGAAAGAACACCGCTTTTATCTCGACGCGGAAGTTTTAAATCTAGCTTTAAAGCATGACCTCTCTTAATTCAGCAATTAAATGATTGCAAAAATTTTTATTCGCAGTTTTAGTTTCCGGAGCCAAGGTAACCCCATCTATTTTCAGTATAGCAAAAAAGGAATTCTTGACCTTCTCAGTTCAGAATTCTTTGGTTCCCTTGCTGACGAGCAGGAAACATATATCACACGCATAAGAAAGGAAAATCTTCCACGGTTGCAATTCCAAATACTATAAACCTAGCGCATTGTATAGTGTTCTAAACCGTCAAACGCGTGTTCCTAATATGGCTTATTTCGTAGAAATCCGGGATTCGAATCCACTCAAGGGGGGCTCCGATCTAATCAATTTGTCTTACGCTTGAATCAACGTAGAATAATCTTCCTTTAAGCTCTTACTAACCTGTAAGACAGAGTTCTTTAAGAAACCAAAACGAACTGAAACCTTGCAAGTCGAGTTTGCAGACAATGTGTATTGGAGGCAGAGGAACAAGCTGGGGCAAGTAGTTATTAGCTGATAAGTAATTAACATTGTGTTGATACAACCGATGATTGATACTTAAGTAAGACGGCATAAAAACTTCACAACATGACAGATTCTGAAGTCTGGAGTTGTATCAAAGTGTTGGGAAGTGAGGGGGCAGCTAGCTTGAGCAAACTCGCTGAGTGAAGAGTACCAGGAGTCTTAGAGTACAATAGCTTCTTGTTTTAAAATGTTCCACTGAATTGTTGTTACAACGTCTACTAACTACACTAACAACTCCAACATCCACTATTGTTGCCAAAAAGCTTAACGCTTATATTCTCATTTGGTTGTATTTTCTCAACCTTTAGAGCCGAGAACACACTTGTGCTCTATGCCGCGAGATTCTGAGAGGCACATAAGACCGCGTGAATTAAACAATCTGAAGCCCTAACGGCTAGGTTAGTGTTTTCTTATCGCTGGAGGTTATCTCTAACAAGTGTGAACTTTTCGTTAGTAGAAATTCCAAAAGCTTCGTGCCGATAAAGCGCTTAAAAATAGCTTGGTATGTTTTGTAAACAATTAACCGCTGGATAGCAATTTATCCGGTGGATAGCTCTATCCAGCCTTTGAACAACCGAGGCCTGGTGGATAGCGAAAGTTTTCATTTATCTTACTAGTTTTTTATTATGTTTTAATCAAAATTTCAGCTGTAATTAAGCAGACAAGAACAAGAAATAATGAGAACCCGTGAAACATAGTAACTATGGCTTATTTCATACCACATTTTGCTATTTTGATAGAGGCATTTAGGAGTACTTTTAAGCGAACGACAACGGCGGAAATGAAAGTTTTAATTTGTTAATTACCTTTCAGTTTTTTATTTGAGCAAAAATTTTGCACTTATTGCAAGGACTAATTTTTTTCCATTTTTCTGCGGCGGGGATCATTCGATTATATTCTTGAAGAAAAGTGAGCGATGAGCGAAATCAGATGTTAATTTTCCTGTTTACTTTAGCAGAATTTGGTTCTAAAGAATTAGTACTAATGAATCAGAAAAAAATTTAACGCGCTAAAACCCGTGCAGTTAGACTAGCCAGTCAGGAAAGAGCTCAGTAACCCACGTGCACAAATTTTAAAACGGCGCACCTTTTGAAATTGTCACAAGCTTCGAGAAACTCAAATTTAGCGATCACAATTTCAGCGCTTACACAGTGTTTTCTTCTCTGGAAGCCTTCTTTCGTTTCTTGTTCCGTCAAACTTAAGCGAAGCGATATGTAACATTTCTGGCAACGGATGGATGCAGGTAAGTGCTGGTTGACGCTTATGTGAGCAAGTAGAACTTTGTGAACTGAAATTTCGGAAGAGCCAGCCATGTGCAAGCTCAAGAGAGGTTCTAGGTCGTAGCTTCGTTTCATGAAATCCTTTAACTTTTTTCAGTTGCTCGTATTTCTGCCCAGAAGCTGTCAATTACTTAGCAGCAGACATAGATTTAGCGTAATTTAAATTTGAAAAATCGGCTTCCTTGAAATTCTTATATGGAAGTGTTGTCGAACGGAGAGCCATTTCAAATCTTGCATCATCTTTGCTGAAACTCCGCATCGAAATATGGAGAAAGCGTGGTTTGTGCGCTTAAGTTTTCATTAGTTACAGGTCTGAAGCGAATATTATCGGGAGAAGTTGCATGAAAATCGCTTCTTAGAGAGCAAGGGTCAACCGTTCATTTTGACAAGTGAAAAATTAGGCACGCACTTGTGGCCATGATTTTGGTTTCTATTTTATTAAAACATCCCAGCACTCAAAATAATAACACTTTCAGTAATATTTTATTTAATCAAAAAAGGTTTGAAATTCTTCTGATATTTTAGACCCAAAGCCCTCATTTTCAAAGTAAGTTTTAATTTTCTGATATTTGAGACTAAAACCCTTTTGTTATCTTGTTTGCTTTTTCATAACTTCAATTCTTGTTTAAATGATTGGCTCTCATCTCTAATATTTTCCTGAGATTTCATTTGCCTGTTTGGTTGCTTCTTTTGAAGGCTTTATACGAAGCGTTCATCTGAAAAAGTTTTAATTAAATTCTGTATTTAGATTCTTCAAAATCTCGCAAGGAAAATTTAAGATACGCTTCGAAGTTCACTCATCATGACCCCAGACGAAATTGTTACATCACAATTTCGAGGGGATTTCGTTCTCAGACATTAGTCTTTTTTTTAACCCTTCAATTTAGGAGTTTTTAGCATTTAATTTCTCCTTAAAATATCACCCCTCAATCACAAATTTAGGTCACAAGAATAAAAGAATTGATCTCCAACCCACGAAGCTCATAACTGTTTTAAACACATTCTTCTTAAGAAATATAAAGAGAACAGTATTGATAATATACACCCTTATGTGAAGGTGTGAAGGATAAAGGAGAGACTCGAACTTCGAACAAAACAATTTTCCAATCTGGTTACCCCTGAGATTGACTCTGGAAAAGGGATTTAAATTTATCTTTTATTGGCTTCAATTTCTGCCATGTTTCAGCAACAAATATTTTTTAACAAAAAAACCCTATTCAATTCTTCATACATTTGCTATAATTGTATGTTCAGAGTGTGATAATTTTTCAATGTTTTCCCTTACACTGGGCCACAATGCTTTCAAGTTTGATTTATTTCACTTAAATTTATATCGGAAAGTCCAGCTTTTAAACTGACATAATTTCTTTGTCATTCAGTCTTGTCCGACACACTCTAGTCCAAACACAAATCAGTCCATTCCTGTCCCGTCTAGCCCAGTTCCGTCTAATGCAGTCCAGCCCAGTTCAGTTCAGTAGAGTCCAGTTTACTGTGCCCTTAGTCCAAACCTCAGCGTCCAGTTTCATGCGGTCCAGTCCGGCCCGGTCAGTCCGTTCCATTCCTTTCCATGTGGTCCAGTCCATCATCACGAGACAAGTGCTGACTCTCGTTACCAGTGCGACTCGCATAAGGACGGGAAAGCGTGGTGAAGAAAAGAACCAACGCCCCATTGGGTTTTTTCTTCTCTTCCTTTCTGTTGCATGCGAGGAGGCTGGGAACAGATCAGTTAGAAGACGCTGATGTCCGGTCGCGCCCGGTTAGTAAAATTCTTTGTGGGTCGGGCTGAAAGGAGGGTTAATAAATAGTGCGCTGGTTGAATCTTGCAACGCAAATTATAACGGAAGTTGACATACTTCAGATTCGGCACAAAATAATTCAAGTAATAATTTTAGCGAGCTTAGTTAGCGGGTCCCCTTGAGGTTGGGCGGGGTCCTCCCTCCAAATTTTTTCTTGGGGTTTTTTCTTTAAATAGAATAATGTTCGGCTTATATTCGGCTAAGGTTCGTTTTTTTTTCGTCGCTTCCTCGGTTCGTTACAAGTCCGGCTTCGTTCATACTTCGGTTCTTCATCAACAGGTCTTTCGGTCTTCGTCAACTCTACGTCGACTTCGGAGGAATTTGCGCGCGTTTCCCCGCCCCGTTACTTTACTATCGGCCAATTACATTTTCAGTCTCGCTTGATTGCAGGGAGCCAGAGCACTGTGATTGAGTAAGACTGTTAGACAGAATTGAATGTTTGGCTTAAAGGTTCAACCAGATCTTGCGTTATGGTAGGTAACTGGAGTTAAGCCATTCAGCTGTGAGAGCAAAGCTATTTTCGCTTCTCTTCACACGCTTAGTGGCTCGCCTCTCGTAACAGGAAGTCAGTTGTCAGTAGAGGCTCACTTTTGTGTGCGCAAATCAGTTAAATTCTTAGTTAGAAGGGGATCATGGGAACAGTGTACACACTGTTAGATCATAGGCAGTCCTCAAGACCAGATGATACCACGAGTATGGATGGATGGCGAAAAATACAAAAACAACTGGATGTAAGGGATAATTTCTTAGCGTGTAGATTTTTTCCCATTCTTGTAATATTACTGTTATCGTTTAAGCTAAATAAATCTGCCGGCATGCGTTATGGCGAAGATCATCTGCGATTGGAAATAGAAAAAAGAGCAAGTAGGAAAGATAGTACAGGAAGTTAATTAAATTGGAACTTTTCCAAATATTCAAGTCTCGCAGACAGCGATATTTGAAAGAGCTTTGAAAAAAATTCCCCCTCCCCCACCCTGAGGATTGAAATAAAGATATTTCCCTTCAACCTATCCCCTTTTCTTCATTGGAGGGCCTGGATCGAATGTAAACACCAACAGCTGACAGTTCTAAATCAGTCGACACATTTAGATTGCACAAAGCCACATTTCAAGCCAATTTGTTTTTCGCAAGTCATTTGAATTTCTCGCGCCTTACTCCTGATAATTTGGACCATTGTCAGCTGTTAAAGTTGACTTCGCTTCAGACCCCAGTCAAGTGTGTCGGAGGATGGATGTACCACAAACTTGGAGGAGCGGTGGTCATGGTGATAAACAGCATCCCATTTAAGGTAGGGATCGGTTGGAGACTGGCCTGAGGTATGTGTAAAGCTCTTGACGCGCCAAGAGCTTGCGCGCAGGTATGATGGTTTACTCTGGGCTGCAACACTCCCCTTCTCAGCTCTTTCCTTGGGCTGAGAATTAGCCTCTGAGAAAAGATTATGCATGGATAAAAATTGAAGCCGTGTTGTATTTCGGAGTATATCACTTACCTTGCCTTCGGAGTACGGCTTATATTTCGGTTCGAATTTCACTTCGGCTTTTCGTTCGACTTTTCGAAATTTGTATGGATTTTCATTTCGGAAAACAGAGGCACTTGGAAGCGACGGAAAGTCGTTAACAAGTTTCTTTAAAGATGAAAGCACCGTCTGGGACACTCTGAGTGTTCAAATTATCGGGATGTCGACATTTACTGACATGGAACACTCGGAGTTTTCCGGACGCCAAATTTTTCGTCCTAAGTGCGCTTCCCCTCCTGCTAAGCTCTGTGGAGTAGTTTAGAAATTAATTTAATTTATTGATGTAATATTGCCCTAGAAAATAAAATGCCAAATACGATTGTGTCCGTGTCCTTTTCTTTATTTTTACAGTTCACTTAGAATTCACATGATACATTTTTCGCTGCGCTCTGGTGTAAAACTCTCTCAAGAATAAAATTAAAAAAAAACAGTGTCTCCGTGTCTTTTCTTTATTAAGAAACTAGTTTTAAACCTTACTAACGCAATTTTAACCGCAGGAGCTTCACACTGGCCTATTTTCGGAGGCTTCTGATACGCCAATTTCGGGGCATTTGCTCGATCCCGTGAACTGGTTTGTTTCGAGGGCTTTGTAATCTTCTGAAGGAGAACCCTTGCAGTGAAGTTAGCTGTACGTGTTGGCTGTGCGTTCGCCCATTTTCGGGGGCGTGGTTGTTGACTTGAATTTAACCAAATCGGTGCTAAATTTCCTTACAACTTTCGTGGTGGATATTCCAAAATTTCATTGTGTCCATTTTCGGGGACTCGCCAATTTTTAAAATTTTTTTCTGAACCTCGTGTTGCTGCGCACTCGACATCAGCCCGTTTTTGGGGGCTGTGCATCACTGAGAAGGTAGGTAAAAAGCTTTCTTAATTCTGCAATACTAACCTTTGCTATATGGAAGTTTTCACCGACAGGAAAATCTTGATGGGTCGCGTCAAGTAGCGGGAGAAATCTTTTCTTTTCTATCAGTACTCAGGTCATCTGAAACAGGTAAGACTGGCATGTTTTGATAACAACAGTTGAAGTTTTCCTCGGCTTTTCTTTCTTTTCAGCCTGACCTAGTGAATAAATTCGGATCACATCAAAGTAACGTGGGAAATCTGACGGCTCTGAGGTAACATTTGATTATGTGCAAGAAGTATTCTTGCTTCTGGACTACTTGAAATTTTCTGTTTACAGGATTTGTGAGACGACGTCCCAAATCTTTTCCTCGATGACAACGCTTAACAACAAGCAGGTAAAATGTTTAATAGCTCCACGCATTTTGTATCTTAACAGCTTTCTTTCTTTAGTGCAAAAATTAAAAAAAACGTTAGCTAACACTTTATGAAAAGACCCAGTTATCCAATCAGCAGCTCTTCAGACTGGCCACAGATGATCATTTAACGTAAGTATACGGTTTGGGGAAAATTTAGGAAACCTAACACCGTGTTCATTGTCGTATATTATAAGCTCGAAGCCCCAGATCAAAGAAAAAATGATACATTAGTCTCCCTTGCCTAGATACATAGCATCCAAAGCTTGATTTTGTTGAATTGAATTGTGCAACCAGGACTAACATCGAACGTATGGTTTTATGATTCGATTGATGTTTTCTCAAACCTCAATATATTATCAGTCTTTAGTAGCTGTTGTTTTCAACCCAGAGAAGCCCAACTAGGAAATTCCATCGTAGTTCAGTGTGATGATACGTGGTCTAGTCTGGTAGAGTACATTTAAGTGGTGTGCAGTCCAGTCCAGTGCTATTCGGCAACGTACAGTTCAATTTAGTGCAGATAAGTCAAGCAAAATGCTGTCCAGTTTCCTGAATTGCAAAGCTGTGCAGTGCAATCCAGAGCGGTGCATTGCAATCTATTCCGGTGAAGTGGAGAGCAGTCTAGTGCGGAGTATTGATGTGAAGTGCAGGGCAGTCCAGTTCAGCCCCTTCCAGTGAAGTGCAATGCTGTTCAGAGCAGCGCAATCCAGCCCAGTCCAGTCGAATTTGGTTCAGTCTAGAACGGTCCAGTCCAGTCCAGTCCATTCCAGACCACTCCACTCCTCTCCAATAAAGTGTAGCAAAGTGCAGTGCAGTCTAGAACAGCCAACTGCAGTCGTTCCTAGCGAAGTGAAGTACAACCTAGTACCTTGAATTGCAGTCCCGTCGAACAAAACGCAACTCAGTGTAGTCCAGTGCAGCCCACTGCAGTCACGTCTAATTCAATGGAGCGCAGTTAAGAACTGAACAGTATAGTCAAGTCTAATTTAGTGAAGTGCACTCTACAACAGCCCTGTGCAGTCAAGTCTAATTCTGTGCAGTGTAGTCAACAACAGCCCAGTGCAGTCAAGTGTAGTGCAATGAAATACAGTCCAGTCCATGTTAGTTGCAGTCCAATTCACTGTAGTCCAGTCCGGACTGGGGCAGTCCAACAAAGAGCGCCAACATACGCTATTGTAAAGAGGTATTTCCATATCAAAGCCTTGTTAAAATAAGGTTACTAATTTAAAGTAAACAAAAAAATTGACTAATAAATAAACGAAATGAATAAGGCATTAAATGTATAAATATAAGTATATGTATATATATATCAATAATATTAATTAATAACAGTTATCAATTCATAATCAAATTTTAAAGAAACAAACAAATAATAATTAAAAGGGAGATAAATAAAGAAGTAAATAAATTGATAAATTTATAACTAGCTATAAATTAATTCTATGATCAAATGCATTTATGATATAAACTGCAAAATATTTTAATGAACTCAACGTTATCTAAAAGGTTTTCCAGGATTTTTTCTCTCAGGACCTAACTAGCTTTCAGGAGACCGCAGCTGACCAAAGGAAAGACAAAGGCAATCGTAGGGTCATCAGTAAAACATGGCTGACTGGGTAACACCGGGATATCAATAAAACAAGATTGGAGTGCGAGTTGAAAGGATAATCAGTACAATGAGCTACAGCTGCAAGGAAGATACAAATCCAAGACTTGGTCGTAGGTAAATGAAGTTTCTGAATAGTTAGGGTAGAAAAAACAAGTCAAAGCAGGTTGTCTTCCTTTCAAAAAAGCGCTCATGGACGACGATTTATAGTGCATAGCAAGTACACCTCGTGCGCTAAAGAGAACGGTTGTTTCCATCGCTTTTCAACTCGAGCTTAATAGAATCTTGCAAGCTCTCGCGCAACAAAAGTAATAATCAAACTGACACCGATGTCATCATCATCAGGTGTTTAATGCTAATCTTGGTTCCATGGCTTTAAAGATTTAGTGATGGAAGAGTCGATTTTACCGCAAAAGATCTTGCATTTGTTTATTTTATACCTGAAATCAAAGTTCTTTAGAGATCCTTTGATGAAAGATATACAAACAATAAACAGTAAGAGTCTATTAGATTCTTTCCAAAAGTATGCATTGGCATTTGATCAGGCCCGTATAGATTATACAAACGGTCAAAATTTTTAGCTACATTTATAAAAGTTGCATTACTTATGAAAAGCATACATAAGAATAAGTGGCACAATTTGCGCGTAATTTGGAAAAAAATCGAGAAATGCAGCTGGCCTAAAATACTACTTTTCATTTGATTGGTCGAAAACCTATTCTAATTTAAAGAGCTTCCATTCTACTCAATCGCAAAGAACACCGCGCTGGAAAATGACAATTAGCTTACAAATAAAAAAAACAAACTAGACAAAGCTTTTGCATTCTGCACAAATCTTCAGCTGACCAGCTTTCAAGACAGTTTTAATAATTTGGGACAAATTTGCCTGTTGCTAGCTAATCAGATGGCGGTATTTGCGCGAGAAATGTTAAGATTATGTTATAAGCCTTTTCCGCGTCGTTATTTTTCAGCCCTTGACCCTTTTCACTCTAACATCAACATTAATATTCTCCACACTGTTTTCTTTACACTTCGTATGGTGCTGACAAGGAGAATTTGATTTATTATCAGGAGTTTCTTTAATTAGTAATCCTTTCCTTTTTTCTCAAAACCTTTACATTTGATTCAAGGATAACGCTGTAAGAAGAAATTAAAATCCAGTCATTATCAGGGCTTAAAGCGTTGAAGGAAGATTGGCTTGGAAATGGGATGCAGTCATAAAATGAAAGAGCACTGGGCCAAATGTTTAGTATTCAAGCTTCCAGCCATGGAGTCACAAGGAAAGATATCGATGTCACTAAACTGCTGCCGAAGGACAATAATTGAACAATAATTGCAATGATGTAGGTATTTTATCTAAGTAGGTTAAAAAGCACATAGTATTTTTATTTTCTTTCTAAATGTTTATCAAGCTACAGCAAATCGGACGGAAGAGAATATGCAACGGCGTTCATTAGTTGTAAACAACTCTTATTGTATGATGAACCTCTGAGAGAGACGCCAATCACTCAAAATCTACTGTGTATGTACTGGAAAAAAAACCTATCGCAAGTACAGCTTCATTTTTTGATGGAATTTTAGAAACGCTTGGTCAAGATCACGACAGCATTCTTGCACTGCTATTACAATGGGAAACGGGAATTTTTTTTCAATTTTACTCTACAGATTTTGCTTTTGTTCTTTAATATTATCATTTTTTGGCAATTTGATCGAAATTTGGCCATTGAATACAAAGTTCTGGGTAGAGGAATAATTGCTCTCAATCTGCCATAATAATGCTTCATTTTCATGATTCCCCATGTCTAGATTAAGGTTTGCTTTCATGAGGTCATAAACTTGACATATTTTGCCTTCCATTCCCTTCCAAACGTCTCAAATAAATTTGGGTTCCTAGTAGATGTTACCTACCCGTCATGAATTCATGTAAATGTGCTATCTCTAAATAATATTTCGAAGGTCACCTAAGCTGTTTATTATGGGTACGTCTTAAAAATTCCACCCTTTTAATAGCGTCAAAAGCCATGTAAATTCTATAGTTTGTGAAGTCCATTTGGCAGAATGTGAGTACTTGCTATTTTACCCAGAAGCTTACTTTTAAATTCGGAGTGATCTTAGGCATTTGGTTTTTTTCTTGGCGTCTTGAGAGATCCGAGAGAATTATTAGCTACTTATTATTAGCTATAGGAATCGCGGATTTTTCAGGTCTCCTCCGGTCTCTCGAAGAGGTTAAAAGTTGTTTTACTATTTTCATTTTGCACAATAGACAGAATTATTGATCTTTTACTTAAGTGGATAGAAAAAGCCGGTTCTGACGCATTTTAAAGACAACCTTGATATCAAGGTAACTCATGAATTCAGACTTGATTTCAGAGTTGACTAGGTGAGAACCTTGGTTTCGAAGTACAGCTCTGACACATTTTGGAGACAACCCTGATTTTAAAGGCAACTCATGAATTTACCTTGAAATCAAGGTTGATTTGGAAAAAATAGCTTTTGTGCATTTTGAAATCAAGGTTGATTTCAAAAGGCAACTTAAAATTTTCAAATGATTTCCTACTTTCTTTACAGTGGATCACTCTTGAGTTCTGAAGTGGGTGTGAATATTGTTATATTGAATGAACCTCTTGTCGCTGAAAGGGTGTAGATTGTTTGTGTAAAGATTTAATTCCTTTGTTTCTTATCAGATGTTTTCATGAGATTGCCATACGACAAGATCAGCATCAATGCTGTACCTTCATATGTGGTGCCTTGATTTGTTCTTCTGTCAAAATTGTGTCGTTGTTATTGAGAAGAGTGTGGCACTCTGCGTTTGGACCTCCATGCCAATCATCTCTATCTTGTTTTTCGAAATTTTCCCATACATTTATTTGTATTTAATACTATTGCAGAGAAGTTGACAAGTTTTTTTTTCCATTACACCAGAAAGATTTATTTATAAAATCATCTCCACTTCCTCAATTCCAGTGACAGCAGACGATTTTCCACTTTCCTCCTTCTGTTGGATTTGTTTTTGTCTTGAATCCTGCTGAATGTGCTACGTCGGTTGATTTACTTCCTTTAGTCTTCCATTGTTTTTCGAAGCGGATATTCTCGCTCTGGGTGGAATTTTATTTCTTGTGTTGCATAATTGTTCAATCCTGATTGATCATAAACAGTAACGCTATATTTATTATAATGAAAATCTTCACTGTTTGAATTTTAGCCTGTGGGATACCAGCTTCTTACTATTTCTTTGATGAATGTCTCGAAGAGATTTCTGTGGGATTACTTTGAGAAAAAAGGAAATAGAATCGATTTGTTTATGTATTTTCATCAACACATTTCTTGTTTGCTGGGTCTTCGCTGTCAATTGTATTTCGCAAGATTGACGATCTTTCGACTGTTCATATCTTTATCAGCTTTTTGAATTGATTTACCAAGATTGCTTGGGTCTATTGGGTCATCTTTTAACATTTTTTTTCGCAAATCAACGAATTCCTTCAGGAGGTAACTCAGTTCCAGGAGGAAAAATGCGAAGCTCTTCTCAAACGAATCCACCCTTTGGGCCATCTTTCAGATAGTAGACATCTATCCCTTATTCACAGTTGATCTCTCAATACCGTGGACTATAAGAGACCACACGTGATCTGTTGCTCTTTTTTTAACCACTTTCCAGCTCACCAGCTGCAAAGAAGTACTTCACATTCTTTGAAGAGTCTCTTCTCTTATCTTTCAAGCCAACAGGTCTTGAATAGGTGGTTTAAATCTCTGCGTCAGCCGACTTTTCGTTGATTGCATCGATAGGTCTCTTTCCAGTCAATCTGGTCACTTCACTATTCAAACCTGAAACAACTTCTGAAAGCCTCTTCTTCCATTCTGTCGATCTCTTTCCCTCCCTAAAGTTGATCTCTTGACTGTAGTGGAATGTGAACAGGCGTTCACCCAAAGTTCGATTGAATCGTTCACATTCCCTCTTCTTATCCTCGCATCGTGCTTTGTCATCTCTCTCGTGACATCAACCTGAAGAACTTTTGGCCATCTCAGTGGTCTACGCTTAGAAATTTTCTGATAAGCTCTTGAGACCTTGAATCTGCTTGTAACATCAACAACACCAAAAATTGGTCCCGGGATATGCTTTAGTGCAGGCAAATAAATCTGCCAGGTGGCTTGCTTCATCAGCCAAAGCTTTGTATCATCTTCAGGCACCCCGGCTTCTTTAGCCAACCTCTTCACAGCTGGCAATCCCCTCCAAAATCCTCTCGGGCTAAACTCGGTTCTTAAAAGTTTTCTTTCCATTTTGAAATAGTTCACCAGAAACGACTGACAGCCAAATCCAAATCCAAAGCCATTCCACCGACGTAGATCATTTCACCTTGCTTTTGCGAAGTACTTGGCTTGTAGAAGTCAGAAAACTCAGATCAAGCACTTGATTATGCGCCTTGTTGTACAGCTTCAAAGCATGATCTGTGTACACCAAATTCTTCTTGCCTGCTCCGTGACTTTGTCATTAGTGCAATCCAATCGAGTGCCTTTGTTCGATTTTCTTGATAATTCTGTGGAGGTACTTCTCCACAGCAAGATCGTGCCTCTTCTTCTTCTCTTTAACAATATTCTGGTCTGCACTCAAATACTTTGTGAGATAGCTTCCACCAACTAAGGCGGTCGCATTGATGAGCGCTCCTCCAATCATCATTGCTATGCTTGCCATTTTATTCATCTTCATCTTTATTTTTGAAAATCAACAACAAGTATTAATAGTGAAGCTTTTGACTGGGTTCTTCTTCTGTCTCGTGGATATAGAATATTAAGGCAGTCTCGATTATCGCGCAGGCTGCGGCTAACTTAATTGTAAATCGGCTGAATATTTTTAAGATGGTAAAATCTTTTGTTCTTCAACAAATCTTCTTGTTGCGATTGATGCAGCGATCACGGCAGTGAACTTCACATAGTTTATGAGATTTGAACTCGGATCAGAGGTCATCGGTTCCTTGATGACTTTCTTTGCAACCCATCCGAGTTCAGCAGCCAATCCAGTCAATGCTTTTACAAGCTTATTATCAGACATTTTATTAGGTAGACAGAAAAAAATCAATCGATTTGTTTTACTTACCGGAATCTGTGTTTGTGTGTTTTGCTGTGGTTTCTTGTTTATTAACGAGAGCCATCAACTCTTCTTTTATAGCCAGTGAGAGAACGACACTTGCTTCTGAAAGAATATGAGTGAGTGAGAATGATGATGATGGTTCTGGTTCTGGTTGATTTAAACTTCCTTTCTTCTTCTTTTTTTCTCTCCCTCTTGTTGTGTTCAGCAAGTTTTTGCCAGCTTCGACACGCCTTGGGTCTTTATTTGGTTTCGTCTTATTTTTAACGGTTGAAGTCACTGTTGAGCCGGTGCTTCTTCAGTCTTGGGTTCTTTTACTATCCATTTTGTTTGTTTATACATAATTTTAAGTTCTTATTAAGTACTTACACAAGTTCTTTCTCAAGTCATTGGTAAGAAATTAATCAGTTTCTCGACAACTACTGTCTATTTCCTCATTATTGACCGAAGGCGATTTGAAGGGTACTTCAACATTTTTTGACAGTGAGAAGAGCAGCACTTGCGATTGCCATGTACTTTCCATAGTTTAGACTCAATCCACTAACAATCATTCCGAGTTCTCTTACCATGAAGTTTTCGTTCAAGTCCTTCAGAAGTTTTTCCTCATCAACAGGGAGAAAATGAGCCAATGTATTACATGAAAGCTGAAGAAGTTTATCAACCATTGCATCTCAAGTCTTTAAAGCTTCATATCCCTTAAAATGATTCTCCACATCTTGTTCAGAAAGCTTCTTTACTTGATCCTGAGTGAGAGATTCACCAATCATTTCCTTCGCTTTACCACTTGCAACGAGAACAGCGAGCTGCTCTCGATGATCTGAAGAGATTTTGGGTTCAGCTTCTAGAATACTTATAGCACCTGTGATTGCTTCTTTTCCATTCATATCCATTTGATATATTGAATCATAAAATCTATACTGAAGGGATGGCGAAGTGGGAATATGAGATGTGAATACTTCTCACTCTTTAGCCTTGCTACCAATTGTTTCTTATTATTATTTCATTAACTCACCTGCATAATTCTGGAAATGATCTTAAGATGATGTCTAGAAGAGAACTAATGCTGCAGTGTTCTCTCTCTGAATGCCGTCGCGATGCTTTTCATCTGCTCTATGATGACCCAAACGCTGATTCCCTCATGTCTTGCGTTGAATGCTAAATTCTCGAGTTCATTCGTCCTTTACTTCACATCTCTGGAAGTAAGGAAATCATCGAGAATAATCAGTGTATTTGTTTCCTCAGACGCAAAACTTGTTAACTTAAGCCAGTCACCAATCTGATCTTGGAGTGGAGTCAAGGCAAGTAAGCCCTTGTCATCTTCTGCGAAGCCATCATATGTAATGTTGCGGATGAATGTTGCACAAATCAGTACAATGTAATGGAACTTTTCTCGGAAGGTGGTGCTCGAGAGATTGACCAGTTATCTTGACTTTCCTGAATTTGTAGGTCCGACTATTAATGCATTGCATGGAATATTATCAGGATTTCTATTTTTTATTATCTTCTCTTATTATTCTCTAATCATCATTAGCATTCGAAGTTATCTCCTTGATGGTCTTAGTGAAGACTTAGGGCTTATGTGATCTTATTACGTTTATTTTCCTCATTTGCATGTTTCCGCTGAATAAGCACTCCCCATAGTTGCCGTGAGTTATATTCTTCATTATCACAGCCTTCTTAATTCCCTTTACTTTTCTTCTCCTCTTTTCTTCAGTACTTTTGTAGCTGTGGAGTTTTGCTCTCAATCCAACAAACTCTTCAATGACCTCTCCACTAGCCTCACCATCATTCCCACGACCTTCTTGTTGCAGCCAGTTGGGATCCCTGAAACGTGATCTTCAGGGCAATTACTTGTGTCGAACTTTTCTTCAAGATCTTAACCTCCATCCTTGTAGAATTCTTCAGTTGCAATCTCATAAGCGAGACTGTCAGTGTCTGTGAATAGAAGAGCTTCCTCTTTAACTAAAACTCTGAATTCTTTCTTGAATGGCATCCATTGAACCGTCAAAGTCTTCGGATTCATCTATTGCTTCAGGATTTTCGATTACTTAGCTTTGGAAATAAGGATTCAAAAGTTCAACATTCTCACTGAATAATTCTTTTCTATCCATCTTGCAATTCAAAATCGTCATGACTGTTGTCCTACGATTCTCTCTCGCTTGCCTCAAGACTTAGGGTTTTGCCGTTTGCAAAATTCTCCTTCTCCAAAACCTTCAACGCCCTCAATTTTAAATTGCCTCGTGAAACCTCTCAATGCAGTGGCTGTTTGTCTATTCTGAGTTGAATGCTTTTCCTATCAATCTCTTTGTTTTCTCCGATTTTTCCTTCTCGCTTTCCTTCTTCTGGACTTGATACTTTGATTTTCGGGATAGCTTTTTGGGTTGTCTTAAAGCATCTTCTCGATTTCTCTGATTTCATTCCTTCTTTGTTGTTCAGATTCATTAACTTTGTTGGTGCCAACAGTGGAACATCAATTTTTGGAACTGGCTGATCAACTAAATAAAATCCTGCTTTCTAAGTCTTTAATATCTTTTGAGTCCGAGTGGTTTTGCCTCTGCTCTTAAATCTGGGAACATTCATGTTTTCCATTTTTTATATTACGTAATTTTTTTAAATTTCGTACATTTTATTAAAATGAAAACAAATTTAATTCCAATAGGCATAAAAGAATCAGAGAAGTTGATTCCATGCAAAAATACCTGAAATCTGGAACAGATCGAGTCGTTTCTCATGTTTCACATCTACTTCACCGTCAGAGGGATTCACTTTGAGATGGGTGGAATTCAAAGTGAATCGGCTCTTCCTGGCAACCCACCGTTCAATCAGCCATCGTTCAAACGAATATGAGCAGAATTTGGAATTTCATCAGATACAGACTTCCGCTTCAAAGAAGGTGATAATCACGGTCATGGATCTGTGTTTATTTATGTGGCAAATCCTGGACCGTAAGCAACTTGTTGTTGTTCCAGCTGCTAAGACAACAGCTGAACCTGTAAAACAGCATTTCTTGAATATGTTTCTCACTCTCTCTCTTAGTGAAGTGCCTTCTTCAACTTCTCTCTTATTCTCAAGAACATTGATCCACTCTTGATTTTCTGTTATCCTTTCTCTTTCTCTTATAGTTTGTTCTTCATTCTCATCATGGGCAACCCCCTGGGCCTCCTGAATAGAATTCTGCTTCTCTTCAATTTGGTTATCCTTCTGAGCAATCGAACAATCGAAACCTCTCGCTCTGGGCCAAGTGAGGTTTTGATTTGTTTTTTAACTTATTATTAATTTAAAATGGAAGTTAAGAGGATTATTCAAGATGCTAATATTCATACCTTCTTCAGATCTCACGAGTGAGACATTGTGAAAAGGGTGTGAAATTATTCACATCTGAAATATTCCAGTTGCCTTTTGAAATCAACCTCGATTTCAAAGTGCACAAAAACTGTTTTGTTTTGAAATCAACCTTGATTACAAGGTT